GTATGGTGATGTGTTGGAGCATGACTTCGGCAGCGTTCCGTCCTCCAATGCTCACCCCCTGGATCACTATCATGCATCTGCGTCGAATCACACATTTGCCGAGCCACTGTTTGAAACGCAAACATCATGGATCGACTCGCCAGTTCCCCCAAGAAGTCACCAGTCTCTCTTAACAGTACCTCCACGATCGAGGAGAAGGGCCTCTGAGTCGCAACGAACTAGACCCTTCTCGACCGGTAGCGAGCCCATAGCAATTCCGGGAAGATCGCCTTCGCAGACCTTGCATCGGTACAGACCTCAAAACAGCCCTACTCAGCCTCACTCTCCTGCGGCTCTTGAGATGTTCACGCCGAGTGGGATTGTCTCAGCCGCCTCGTTACCCCAAACGAGACCCACTACTTCGGGAGGAGCTCGAGGTAAACGAAATGGCCCCATGAATTCACCAGCACGCGAGTCCGCCAAAAAGACGCGGACTGATAGGTCTATCTGCATTGCTTGCAAACAGAAAAAGCAGGGAGTGAGTTCTTGCAATTCTAATAGCGACCCTATGTGAAACATTGCTTACCATATCTCAGTGCCTAAGACCCATGGAATCTCCGAATTCATCCTGTGTCAACTGTGTGAAACATGCCTCCAAGCGACCAGGCCCGTGCTTCAGAGCGTACTTTGACGACATTGTGAGCTCTGGCGCTCTCAACTACATTTGTAAGTTGCCTCGAATCAGCCATGATCGTAAAGACCTGACCAGTCTGCAGCGCAGCGTGCCATTCACCATGTTTCAACAGATGGAAGCAAACGCATCTGCAAACCGCTTCCAGAGGAGTTCCCTCTGAACGAAGTAATCCGAACACTTCAAAGCGTCGCAGGTCGTTTTGACCTAAGGGTCAGCCAGGGCGGACGATCGATGTACGTCCTTAGATTGGATCAGTGTCGAAACTATTTATCCAAGCTTCGCGATCTTTATTTGCAAAAGGGTCACGAGCCGAACATGAGCGCGTTTATCGACAAGGAGCTGTTTCAAGGCAGACCGAGACTAGACAACTGGACTTCAATGATTGCCGACTGTCAAGCCAGCACCAAGGACGATAAGGTTGCACTGCTATTGGCATTGGGTAACATGCCGAGCCGGGCAACATACTCGTACGTTCCTTTGCCTCATCGACATGCGAAACAAGACTCTTTGAGCGGTCGAAACATCGATCCCGAGGCTGCCCATGAAGAAAAGTACCTTGTCTGCGCTGCGAATTTGGCCCGCATCATTGCACGCAAAATTGAAGTCGAAGCATACACTCATCTCCAGACACGATGCCACAACGCCAATCAGCTTTCAGACGTGGATCTGAACCGTCTCCTACAAATTATCGGACTTTTACTCGTGTCCTTGCGATGGCGCCATGCCTGGTGGGGTATACTAGGCGATGGCACTATCCAGCGCGAGCCGCATCGAGGAGACTACGAAGTTCGTGTGCGGGAGTTATGTGAAGGGTTGTACTTTTGGTTTTGTTCATTAAGAAGACGCTTCCCACCGTCGCCAGCAGATGTTTCGGACAATCTTTCAGGTGTTCGTTCACATTATGCAGACACGACGAATAGTGTCTGGGACGCGTTTCCAGGACGAGATCAGGAGAGTCGTGAAGGATTCAATGCGTGGTTAGACCACGGGCGCGCATTGGTGATACAGGCTGGGGCTGCTACCACTGTCCACACGGGACTCGGGTCTTCTTTGTTATGAGTGCTGTTATCTTTTCTGCTTCGGTGTAACGTATGGGTTTGCTTTATGGGGTTATGCGCCAATGATGGGGGTTTACAAGCAACATCACGGCCGAGGAAAGAGGCATTTTCACCATGCGAACCAGACTCATGGATACTATACTACAGGCAATGTTTGGCGTTCAAGATTCAATGACACATTACTTGATTGACGATATTCGAGCATGCAGTAGGGCATCCTACTCTGCAGTCATTCATTGACGTTGTGTTTGACATGGCAGGTATTTAATTCACAAGTACAGAGGACTCACATAATGACATCCCATTTCTTTTCTTTTTTGCCTGGTTGTTGAAGTCTGAGCTCAGGAAAAGGGCATGTACACATATACACACAGCTTGGGCACGGACTGGTTCTTTGACAAAACATTGCCCGCTTGGGTTCTTCGATAGCACATGGTATTCGATCCCGAAACAACACGCATGCTTCGCTCACACCTCCAAGTAGGAAGGTTTTCCACGTTGAATGGAAGTAACCAGACATAAACATAACGGAGTCTGTAAGGATTGAAGCCGGCGAGATAACTCAAGTTCCAGGTCGGGCATCTTTCCTGTCCTCGATCTTGCCGAGTGCATGCTCTTTGTCACGTATAAGTAGCTCTGGTTCTGCCAGGTACATCATTCATCAACCGCTTTCAATCACAGTGTTTGATCTTAAGTTAGCCGATAAACCCATTGTTCCGTTCTAACCGCTCCTTAGCAAAATGGTGTGAGCGACATAAATACGAGTCTTTCGCCTTATGAAGCATTGACGGCTGTCTCTTATTTTAATGAACCAGCAACAATAGCCTTAAGTAACCAATCAGACCAAACAAGGACACTATGTGCATCAAAGTCCACAGACGATACATCTGTCCCAAAACAGAGACAGGAGCTCTAGGACCCGACCCCGACGAGGAGGGCTCCCCAAAGCGCCGGTTCGTGGGCGAAAAGCCTGCGCGGTATGGGTCGAATATCGTCATGGAACCATACACTCTCACGTGCTACGTCGACTTCTCGAACAGTGCGAGCCGGCCTAACGAAGCCTATGAAACGCACGTCTGCGAGATGATTGTCGAGTGCGGCGAACCCCAGTTCAGCTGCAAAGACCTCAATACGATGGAGCTGAGGCGTGAGAATATCCCCAACCACCACTGCCCCATCTGCCTTCGCATCCCCGACTATCCTCGGGCTCCCGACAGCACCTGGTCGTACAAACGCCCTATTGCACAAATTGCTGATGATTTTGAGCGTGGGCAGGCCATGGTCGCCTTTGACCAGTACCTCGAAGGTGTGTTGAATCTTATGTTGGTTTCGCTGACAGTCTTGTTTCACGAAAACCAGGACTGGCAGATATACGTCGGGATGCCCAGCGACGATCGGATCGCAGGGCTGATTTACTCGCACTTCTGCCGCGAAGATGACGGACACTATGGCGTGGACTCGTGGCACTGCACTTGTCTTTCCAACCAGGCACAGTTCGCCGAGGCGTCGAACCTCGGGCGCATGCTCCGGTTCATTGACGTGGGCCTCATTGCCGAGTCCAACATGGACATTGTGATGCGGTGCTTCATGCGAGACGATGAAGGCCACGAGCTCGACTCGGAAAGGGACAAGGCCTGGAGCGAAACGACCAACGACAGATGGAGGCGGCTCTGCCTGGCGCCCGAAGAGCGCGTCAAGCACTGGGCGCACCCGGACGAGGACACCAGGTTCGCGCAGTGCGTGGCGCAGCTCGAGCACGAGGTCAACCGCACGCTGATCGAGGGGCCGATGGCCATTGCGCACGCGCGGTACAGCCGCATCGAGAGCGCCGAGCCGGTCGAAAATTGGGACAACGGCAAGTACGCCATGTTCGTGCGCGGCCTCTCCCAGATCCTGTACCCGGCCCTCGCGTGGATCAGCTACGACTCTGGCCTGTCGAACGAACAGGTCGCCCTCGTCGCCCGCGTGCTCTTCACCCTCGTCGACCACAACCGCGCCGCCGGGCGGGACCCCATCCCGGGCTTCCCCGCGGGCCAGCAGCCGCAAATCCCCGCCGCCCTCGATGACATCTGGTCCATCATGTACATCACCTTTGACTGCCCCTTCGAGTCGCGCGTGCCGACGCTCGTCCACGACCTGCTCAACCGACGCATCCGCACCCTCCAGAAGAAGATTGGCGTCTACAAGCGCAGGCGCGCCGCCGTCTTCGCGGAGCTCTCCCTGCGCCTCGACCACGCCTGGCTGATGCTCGACAGGAGGAGCCTGACCGTCCAGCAGGTGCTCGCCATGCGAGACGAGGCCGGCGGCGAAGCACAGGCGCAGGGCCACGAGGAACAGAAGGCGCCCAGCTGCACCGTCTGCGACGAGGCCTACGACGACACCCAGAAGCTGTGCCGCCCGACGCTGCTGTGCCCGGAGATGAAGCACCACCTCTGCGCGCGGTGCTGTCTGCGCATGGTCCTCACGGCCAACGTCCGCGTGCCCGACGTGCGCTGCGTCATGTGTCGCCGCGAGTGCAACGACTGGATCCTGCTCAGCGACAGGACGGAGCGCTTCATGGACGCTGACGCCGAGGCGGCTGAGGAGATACTGAGCAGGTTCCAGGCGGCGGCGCAGCTGTAAGGGCTGAGACTGAGGTTTGGTGCTTGTGATTTGTGTTCTGAAAGTTTTTTATTGTTTTGTCTTGCACTTCTGACTGACTGTGAGCCTAGATGTATGAGCAAGGGGTATGTGAAGATTTTCAGTTAGAAAATAGCAGGAAACATAGAATGTGGTCCTCTCAGAGCGAGATTGAACTCCATGACCGACGTATACACAATTGAATTCGTCACTGGAGCAACCCAATGCATTTTGATGTGAATGATGTGGTTGTACGGGCTGCTACGCACCTGTCTACCGTGACAAGTTCTTTTCTTCGTCTCGATCAGTTATGTCGACCAGCTGTCCTGTAAAACCACTCGCTTATCATGACATGGCATGGGACGACATGACGTCTCTTGAAACCTTCTCCCGCAACCACATACACGGAACTTTTGCTGGAAACCCAGTCGACCAACTTGATCATGTCCCAAAGCAAACCCAGCTCGCCCCCATACACGAAGATTGACCTGTAGGGTAACGACCAAACGCCTCTCAACCAAACGCCATGCAAACGAAATGCCATGCCACCTTATCGCTTGGTGGATGCAGTCATGACCATATCTCGTGTCTTTCGTTCCCTCACGTACTTACTCGGGCCCCTCGCTGCGTGACCATCGCTTGAACACCGCTCATGCGAGATATCGGTACGTTGGCACATCAGCGTCCTCTACGCGCTCCAGGTACTCTCGAACTATCAAATCCTCGATCCGCTTCTTGACAACGCTGACCTCAGGGCTGAATCGGCCGACCAGCTGAGTGACCACCTCGGATATGAGTTGCGAGTGGCCGAGCTCTTTCCGTTGCCTGTAATCATATCAGCAAACATGCCATTTCAGTTAGAGCAAGGGCTACATACTTCATCGTACGCACAATGGCCGCGTCGATAATGTGAGCGCGGGACTGTGCATTCTTCTCCTCCGTCTGCTTGCGCTCGCTGTCGTCTTCAACCTTGGAGACAGCGTTGATGATGGGGGCCTTGATGCGAACCGTCTTGCTGACGAACGATGCGTTGAACTTGAAAGTGTCCGTCATTTCAATCCGGCGACTAGCAGGCTCCTTGAGAAGGACGCGGGCCTTGGGCGCGATTGAAAGTGAGGTAAGGGTTCTCATGAGGTCAGGCGTCGGAATGTTGGTCTGTGCTTGGATTTCTTGGGCCGTCAGAGATCGGTCATCGAGATCGTTGAAGAGCATGATGATCACCATGCCAAACGTGGAAACGTTGAGTTCGTATTTGCGCTCGCGGGCCAGAGGCCCCTTGCCACCTGCCATGGCGGGGAACACGCAGCGAATGTCTGCATTACCGGCCGTACCGACCCAGCTGAGCTTGCGACCGCTGCGATTTGTGAGATAGTACTTGGTGAGGCTTTCCTGCAGCCTTGTGATTTCCTCGGGGTAGATGCATTCGGTGCCACCGGCGAGTGGTGCGCTGCGACCCATCACCTCGGGCGGCCAGCTGTTGCTCGTCAGAATATTAATGCCGAGTTCGGCCTGTGGGCGCTCTACATCTCCCAAAGAGCGAATGTGATCTCGGTAGCCGGCGGTTGTCTCCTTTGACGTATCCATGTCGCGAAGCATGCCCTCAAATTTGGCCGTGAATTGGTTACCAAGCTTGCTCTTCATGCGAGAGATCATCTCCTTCTCGGCCTCATGACTTTCCGATTTGCTGTGGAGTAACCGCTTCGCCAGGTGCTTTTGGTAGTATCGCTCAAACATGTCGCGGTCCTGGAGGTAGTGGATCAGGATGATGGCCTTATCCATGATGACGTGGATCTCCTCGTCCGTCTTGCCTCGGATGCCGCGGCGCAGGTTGTCATCGATGAAGAGCGACACATATTCGGAGGCTCGCGCAAAGACGTTGATGAAGTCGGAAAAGCTTTTGGTGAGCACTGTCTGCAGGACAAGGTCCTCGTGGAAGGCCTGGCGCCAAATGTTGTCGAACTTGTCCTTGAGCTGCAGGACATCGTTGACCCACTTGATCGCGGCAGCCGTCTGTTGTGCGGAGACGGAGGGAGCCGCTGGCGCCTTGCTCTTGTCCGCGCCATCGGCAGCCTCCTCACCGTCACCCGCAGGAGCAGGGGCGGAAAAATCGGTATTCTTGACGTTCTGTTCGATCTCGAGACCCAGTTCCACAACTCGACTAGAGAGAATAGCCTTCATAGATGCTTTCGTCTCGTCAACTCGGGCCACCAACCCAAACAGAATAGATAGCTCCTGGATTCGATTATGATCGAGCATAGCCTTGAGCCCGCTAGCCTCGAGCGCCAGAAACTCGTCAAGATGGCGCGATATCAGCTCGGCCTCTACAATCTTGATGCACTGCTCCTTGGTATCTCTGTGAAGAGTCGTCTCGCATCGGTCAACCTCCTCGGACAATCGTCGTTCGGTTTGCGGCAGCCAAACGCTGGCGTCGCCCTCATCGAGCAGCCTCTGACACTCTTTGGCGTAGTATGCGGCCGTGGACTGGAGGAAGACAGGCTCAAATGTTGTCGTGTAGAGCTTCTGGTTGATGTTCTCATTATCGTCCTCATACAGCGAGTCGAGCATTTTAACACTGTTCTTGATCATGTAGCGGTCGATGACCTCCCCGTCCCTCTCCATGTTGACGAGGTCGAGCACGACCGAGTTGAGGATGTCGAAAATGGTGTAGTCGACATGGTCGTTGAGGCTCGAGCGTAGAATGCGATCACGGTACAGACCGATGCAGCTGGTGTAGATGGAAGGCCGGCGCGAGTCCTGACTGTAACCTCGGTCGAGGTACATCAGAATGTCGGCGACCATGTTCATCGACGTATTGTGGTCCTCCCATGACACCCTGAGGTTGCGCAAAAAGTGCTCGCTCATCTGGCGCCGTTCGTTGACGGACGAGTTGGATTTGCCCATGGCGATGCTGATGAGGTTTGCCGTAACGAGTTTCTCAATGGCAGGGATGACATGGTCGGCAAAGTAGGCTGTTTCGAATTCTCGTACTCGATCGTAGAGCAGATCGCCTTTCTTATTGAGGACAATCTTGTAAGACGCACGGTAAAGTTGTTCGAAAGCGAGGGTACTGCAGTTCTTGTTGTGGATGTCGAGCATGGCCTCCTTGAGAGTCTGCCAGGGAGCCTCGATGTCGTTGGGATCACCTCCACGTCCGACCATGGGCTGCCAGGATTGAAGAAGTTCGTCAGCAGATTTTCTAGACATGTTCAAGGTTGGTAAACGGGCAAACTGGTGGCGGAAGGTGAATCAACCATAGGACCTCACTGCGCTACACTTGAGGCAGTAAGGGTCAGACGAGGGAAGAGGGGAGGTAGCGGTGGCAGCGGGAGGTTGAGAAGGCCCAGGAGGTACGAATATTGAAAGAGTGAGGACGAGAAGTGTTTGTCTGAACTGTTCCCTGGCTGTAGACCAGAAGATGAGGCAGACCAACGAATGAGGGAAGGAGCCATGCGGATAGCAGGCAAGCACGGAAACACGGGCCATTCAGTCTGTAGACAGGCGTACAAGTTCCCACGCACGTCGTCTAACGAAGCCTCTTGGACCTTGGAAGAGAATACAGGAAGAAGGCATACCTTAACCATGCGACGAGGAGGTCGGATCCGGCCAGACTTTTGAGCCGGGCCTCCTCCCCCACGTCCTGAAATCATCTTGCCGACAGCTCAAGCCGAGGTGGGCGGCAGCAGAGGACGGGAGTTCGAGTGGACGTATTGTATAGGCTGTCTATGCGTCGGTTCCGTCGGCTATGAAATGTGTGGGAGATAAGAGAGGAAGAGCCTTGCGAAGCGGTGTCGGAAGAGCGAGCAGAGAGGCTACTATTCTGAAGAATGTTTGTCGAGGGTGGCGGCGGGGTACTCGATCGTAGCGTAATCGGCGGCTTTGCTGGAACGCGGGCGGCGGAGATCTGGAGGGGGGGCTGCAAGGACAAAAAATACTTTCTGTGTGTGTAAAAGAGGATGAAAAGCAAGCAACATATAGGCATCAGCTCTCTTGTAGTGACAGAAGACGAGAGAGCAGGCTGAACGGGGTCAAGTCGCCAGACCAGACCAAGAGCGACCAGGCAGGCGGATACAAGGCTGAAGGGAAGTGCCAGTGCCACGAGGTTGAGGGCCCAGATCTTGGATGGAGCTTCCACCTTGGCCAATCATAGGGCAGAGAGACCCCATGCAGACCGCACGAGCCAGTCATTGACGATGTCCCACTGACGCGACGCGTTAATTGGTGGTCGGAACCCATAGAGACCGATTTTCCGACTCGAGAAAAATCCATTCCACCTCCGAGCCACCAGTGACGACATGTTCAAGGTCGCCTACGTCTCAAGCAAGCCATCTCCTGCCGAATTTTGCATCGAGTCTAGCTACCCAGTCCGACCCTGAATCATCAAAGACACATCGATAGAGCCTCGACCCTCGGACAGAGCTCGACCACGAGACAGACGCATCACAATGGCATCCCGCTCAGCGACAGCCCTTTTCCTCTCCAGCATTCTCCACGCCGCCAGGCCAACAACAGCCCGGGCATCAGCAAGAACCATCCCCAGAGCCATCACCAGATCCCAACAACCTCGCATCGCGCCCCTCCTCTCCCAGCGCTTCGCCCACAGCATCCCTCGACCGCCTCAGAAGAAGCCCACGACACCCGAGGCCTCGACGCCCTCAGAAGCATCCTCAGAAGCCTCGACACCGTCCGAAAACCCGCCCAAGTCTCGCGTCGAGTCCCAACCTCACTACCGCCTTACCTTCACCTGCACGCCTTGCAACACCCAGTCCACCCACAACATCTCCAAGCAGGGCTACCACCGCGGCTCCGTCCTCGTCACCTGTCCCGGCTGCCGCAACCGCCACGTCATCAGCGACCACCTCAAGATCTTTGGCGAGCGCAACATTACCGTCGAGGACCTCATGCGCGAGAAGGGCCAGCTCGTCAAGAAGGGTACCCTCGGCGAGGACGGCGATATCGAATTCTGGGAGGACGACGTGGAGGGCAACAAGGGCGACTTCAAGATGGCTGGTGAGCCTGGCGCCAGTGCAGCAGCTTAGCTGTGGCGCCTTATCAGGGCCCAGAAGCGTCGGGACATGATTGTATGAGTAGGAGCAACAGAGCGATGCCGAGCGCATCATTGTACCAAAACCTTGTAAAGAATCTTGTAACAAAACATCACACCCCTAGCCAAGGCTATGATTCCATGGAGAGGATGCTGCGGAAGACCCGTGAGGCCTCCATCAGCGATCACTTGCGACGAAGCGAATCATTCATGCAAAACATCTTTGCGTTAACAGGTACAGCTTATCTCTACCAGGTAGAACACCTAAATAAGAAAATGGCAATGCAATGTGCTTTTTTAAAAAAAACCTCCAACGCCTTTCCTATGCAAAATCATTTCAGCGACGGCAGAGGCGCCAGCGAGGAACCGGGAACCGATCACCACGACTTGTACGCCTGCCGGTATGCCTTGAACTCCTGTCCCTTGACCTTGTTCCGCATCTTCTTCTTCTCCGTCTTCTTCCTCTTGTCGCGGCTGTACTTCTCCGGGTGCGCCACGGCCTCGATCTTGCGCTTGCTCGAGCGTGCCTGCCTGCGCGCCTTAACCTCCTCGCGGATGGCGAGCAGCTGCTTGGTGTACTCGGCCGTGCCGAATTTCTTCTGCAGCGCATCCATGAGGATCTGGGCGCGCGTCTTGAGGGCGTCGTGCTTGGTCTTGAAGCCCTCATCCAGCGAAAACGGCGTCGACGCGTGCGGGTCCGTGATGGCCTGCAGCGGGAACAGGATCGTCTTGAGCGATGGCGCCAGGTTCTCGTCCGGCACCCGTCGGCACACCGTCTCGAGGACCTCCATCGCCACCACCTTGGGCACCATGCCCATCGACGTCGACTTGACGTCCTGCCGCAGGATCGACGACAGCTTCCAGAAGAGGTACTGCAGGTCCTTGCCGCGCTGCTCGAGTCGCGAATCCTCGGCCTCCTCCTCGTCGCCTTCCGCCAGCGCCTCGCCCGTCGGGCCCTCGTCGCGCGTCCGCGCTTGGAGACGGGGGCCGAGGAAGATGAGGATCTGCGTCACCTCGTTGGCGAAGGCCTCTTCAATCTCAGGCGCCCGCAGCGTGCCGAGCGCCAAGCTGACGAGATCCTCGACGTCGTCGCTCTCGAGCTCCATGCCGTACGAGCCCTTGAGCGCCTCGCCGGCCTCTGCTGCCTCGCCGGCAAAGTCTGTGAGGAACGAGCTGAGAAGTTTGACAGCGCTCAGCTTGACCGACGGTTCGGGGTGCGCCATGCAGCCACGGAGGTCAGCCCATAGTTCGGCCGAGTCGGCCGAGAGAATTTCCTCGGGGTATGTCTGGGACAGAACCCGCGCGACGTGCAGCGCATTGTTGACCAGGTCCTCGGGCGCCACGCGTATATCTCCGTCACCCACGATGCCGGAGACCTTTTCGACGACGAGCTTGAGTTCCTTCTTGTCCTTCTCAGACGGCTCCCTGGCTTCGAAGAAGAAACCAAACGCCTGAATAGCGAGGCTCAAGACTGATGGGTTGTCCTCCTGCTCGAGCCAGGAACGGAGAAGCGTGAGGAAGTTGCGCATGCGCTCCTTGTCGGCGCGGCGGAAGATTTCCTTGACGAGCTCGCCGGCGGCCAGACGACACTTTTCCGAGTCGTCGTTGGCGACGACGAAGATGAGAGGCAGGAAGCAGGTCGCAGCGATCTCTTGAACGAAGTCGTCGGAAGACTTCTTCAGCAGGAGATGGACAATCTCCATGACAGACAGCCTGCCGCCCTCTCTGTCGTACTTGAGGTTGGCGACCACAAAGTTAAGCTGCTTCGCCCATCGGGCCTTCTTCTGAGGGTACTCCCGTAGGAACTGGAAGAAGGCGCCCCGTGCCAGGTCACGTGTGTCCTTGTCGTCGTTGGTGATCATGACCGTGCCGACATGGTCCAGCGTGTCATAGACGTTTGCGGTCTCAATCTTGCGGTCGAGGACAGACCGCAGGAAGTTGAACGTGATGTGGCGGTACAAAGGCTCCGTTAGGTCCTCCTTGACCTTGCTCAGAAGCATGTCAATAGCAGCGTCCTTGACCACGACATCGCGTCGGTCCCGGAGCACAACAGACAACAGCTTCAGCGCCGACTGGGACAGTTCAGAGGTTGTCGTCGGCGAGAGTGAGATGGCTTTTGTAGCCTCCTTTGTCGCAACCTTGTAAAGACCAGTAGCCTCATCCGTGCTGAACGGCACCTTGGACAGGGCATTGAGCAGCTTGAAAGCGGCAATCTTGACATCATCCTCACCCACGACGACCGCGTCACCAAGAATCGGCACGAAACCACTAATGTTCGTTTCGTTACGCAGGCTATCGTACTTCTTCCAGACAGCGCGAAGAATGTCAAGCGCAAATTTGACGAGTTTGTACGTGTGCTTGCTGTTGGCCTCCCGATCGCTCTTCCTGACACCCTTCTGGTACAGGTATTTCTTGAGCCTCGGGTCAATCTTGGCTTCGGCCTCGGGCTTCTGGCTCTTGTAGACATCCTGCACAACTTCGTAGCAGAATACGAGCGTGTCGCGGCTTTCGGCGGCGGGGTTCTGCAGCAGGCCAGTCGTGACGCGCATCAGGAGACTGTCAATCTTGCGAACCATCTTGAGGTTAACCTTTTGCAGTAGGAGCGACCGGAGAGGGTGGATAAGGTCCGTCAGGCGGCTCACGGACGCAGTCTTGGCAATGAGCTCCATCGAATCTTGGCTCTTGCTGGCCTTGACTTCCTTCAGCTGGCTGATGTAGCCCTCTGCGTCCTTCTCCTGACCGGTAACACCAAAGATATCATCAATGATAACCGTGACAATCGAAGGGAGACAGTAGTCAATGTCGCCCTGCTCAAACTCGGGAATGACCTTCAGAAGCATGGAATGCATGGTGTAGGACAGGACGTGCAGCTGGTAGCCTCGCTTCAGAGCGCCGCGCAGTTCCTTCAGAATGAAACCAAAGTATGGGGCACCAAGGATGCTCGCGATCTCGACTAACGTGTCGCGGGCCAAGTCTCGAGATTCCCAGTTCTTGCTTCGCAGAATGTGACAAATGTCAGTGAGGACACCAGCCAACCGTTGGCTCATCTGCTGTTGAGGCAGGAGCTTCATGAGCTTGACGATGATGATACCGACAGGTACACGATAACTGACTTCCGAGTCGTCTTTTTGGTGAAGGTACTTGATCAGAGACGGCAGGAAGTTGTTGGTCAAATCCTTGGCAAGGTTCTCGCGAGGCATAGTGAGAGCAAGACGCTTCTGAGCCGTTTTGCTCTCCGCGTCATCAACTTGCATTGCTTCATCATCCCTTGTCGCCATAGCAAGTACAAGAGCATCAGCAACCTTGGCGAGGAGACGGATGATGTGTTTCTGCTGCTCGGGCTTCGATTCAACAAAGCCGATGTACCGCTGCAGCACAACGCGGTAGTGCTTCCAGTCGAGAGATGCGACGAGAGTGCCGATTGTGAGTGAAGCCTGGGCTCCGAGGCCGTGATCATCGGCACCTTCGGCTCGACCAAAGATGAAGTGCTCCAGAATCGGGATGAAGAAATGGTAAAGATTTGGACTGCTGAACTCGTGGACTTCGTTAGCAGCGACTAGGATCTCGAGAGCCTCCATCTGTCGCGATGTGGCGGGACTCAGGATATTGAAGAAGAAAGCTGGCTCGGAAGGCTCCTCGTCGTCCTCGTTCAGAAGACCCTTGAGGTCAGCAACTGACTCCCAAGTCGGCATCTGTGAAACAAGGAAGCCAAAGACACGCAGAGTCTCTCGCCTGACAGTCGAAGAAGACTCGCGGGCGCCAGAGTACAGTGCTGGCAGAACGATCTTGGACATGTGAGAATAGAAAGCCTCCCTCAGCACGACATCTTCTGTTGAAGCCACTTCCTGGATGAAGGTACGTAGTCCATCGGCCGAGTTGGAAGTCAAGATGCCGAATTCTTCGTCTTCACGAATGAAGTAAACGAGGTTGTGAAGCAGAGGAAGCCATTGCCTGGCGTTGAATGCGGCGGTCTTGCCAGACACTTGGTTGAAGCCCTGCAGGCGCTGGTCGTAATCGGGCTCCTCGATTCGCTCAGGCACAAAGGCGTTGATGGCACTGCAAATGCCAGCAACCTGATCGAGGGCGGTGTCCTGTTTGGACAAGATAATGAGGAGTCGGCACAGGGATTCCCTATTTTCCTTGTCTTTGAAGTAGCTGAACAGCGCAGACACAGTCTCAAAGATGGTCGTGAAGAGGGCGCTTGTGGGTCCGAGATCGACACCGTTGGCTTCGTGCAGCGTCACGAATTGCTCCAAGATGAGCAGAATTTGACCCTTGGCTCGAGGGTTGACCTTTCTGGCGGGCTGGTTGAGGAGGAAAATTGAGATCTGCAAGACCTCGTGGACGTTCTCCGATGTTTCCACGAGAGGCGAAATTTCAACGACAGTTTCGAGGCATGCGTCCAGGAGAGCACCACCGGTTGTCTCCGCTTTCAAAGCAACAGTAATGTGATTCAGCAGGAAGTCAACATTGGGGCTGAGCAGTTCTGCGTAGATGAGCTCGTTGAATTCCGACTCGGTGGGCGAGGCTTTGGAAAGCTTGATGAGGTTACGGACAATGCCCAGGCAGAAGACCTTGACCTCGTCTTTGCTTTTTGCAACCGAGACGCACTCGATGATCTTGGGCAGGATGTCCTTGTTGATTTCGAGGAAGAGAGCTGACTTGGGAAGCTGAGACCAGATGGAGAGAAGTTGCAGAAGTCCAGAAACACCTTGAGTGTTCTCGAGCGGAAGATTCGCGACTCTGGGTGTAACGATCTCGGCAACAATGGGTTCGGAGTAACGATCCCAAGAATATTCGGGCGCATTGCGGAAGAGGGAGATGAGGCACTTGAGGCCGGTAGTGCGAACAACCTTGAGGAGCGACTCGTGCGTGGCCTCCTTGTCTTCCTCATCCGATTCGGTCTCAACCTCGGCAGCCAAGTCATGCAGCTTGCGGCAGGCATTGATGAGGCAGTAGAGAACGGCGTTAAGAATCGTTTCGATGTAGGGCTCAACATCAGTTCCGAGTTCGTTGATGAGGGGGAGCATCATGTTGAGGAAACCGACTTGCTTCCGCGGTGGCATGATCTCTCCATCGAGGACATTATCACGGATACCAGACTCATCGACGACAGAAACTCCCTTCAACTTGCCGACGGCAATGTTCAAGAACCCACCCAAATCTTCAGGGGACAGGTTTCTCAACACGGCGAGACGTGTAGCCTGGAGGCCGTGCCGACCACTTGCGGCGCCCTTCTTGGAAATTGTCCTGCCGTAAAGCAGCCTCAATAGAACGGGCATCAACTCAGCCCGATGCTCAGGCTTGATCGACTGCTCGCCTTGCATGAGAACAGTCAACTCGTTCTTGAATCTTGCCTCGTCCAATAGGTACTCGAGGTTCTCCTGGTAGGCGCGGACACCTGCTTGCTTCCATGCAAGAATCGCCTTGAGAGCTGACTTTTGCACCTCAATATCACCGTTCTCCATCAGGTGAAGCAGAGCCCGGTACACCTTCTCGCTCTCATAAAGGGACCGCGGGTTGATGAACTGATCGAAAACGCCGAGCATGCCCTTGCGGTCGTAGAAAGACCAGGTTTCGGCACCGGAGGCATGCTCTTTGTCCTCATCTTCGGAAGAGGCCTGATTGTCGCTGGAGACTTCGGGCTCCGCGGCCCACGACAGGAAGTACGGCACCAGCTTGCGAGAGCGCTTCTCAGCAAGGGCAGGCATGGCGGCAAGGACTTTCAGCGCCTGAGAACGGGCATTTGTCGGGCGCGTGTCGACAGCTTGTTGTTGCTTATCAAAGGACTCCAGCATGAGATCAAGGGCATTTTCCGCTGTCTGGTGAATCTCGTCGGCTTGGCTTACAAGATGCTGCAGGTTGGTACAGTCAAAGTCGGTGAGCGCGGCGCGACGATGGGCTGCGGGAGGGCCACCTGGACCGGAACCTCTTGTAGAAGGCACGTCAAGCCAGTCAAGGGCAAGAGCAAGGAGTGCCTCTTCGCCTTCCTTGGTCTCCCCAATCTGCTTCATGGCGTATGTCGCATCGTTCCAGAGCGGTGTGAGCTTGAGAGTCATCATGCCAAACATGAAGGATGGGATAGCTTGGCGGAGCCACGAGCCCTCAGTAAGTGAGGCATAGGTCTGCCCGAGTTTACGGATGTACATGGCGAGATTTCGGAGGGTCGCTAGCTCAAGGGGGGAGCTTTCAATGTCGGTCATGACCTCCAGGCAGCAGAGCTCATCGGGAGTCGAATCGAGCTGCCCGAGGATCCTCAAGGTGGCGAGTCGTAGGTCATGAGATGGCGATGACAGGTTCTCGATAAGCGCTTTCACGACCGGGTTCGTTTCTGTTCCCGAGCCCTCACTGCTGCTGCTGCTGTCTCGGCGCTCGGTCGACGGCTGGTCTTTGGTAGCTTGCTGGTAGGCAAGATAGGCCTCGAGGAACCCGATGGATTTGCTAAACCTTGGCAGCGCTGCTCGAAGCAGAGGTTTTAGGCCAGGATCCACGGGACCAGCAACCTGACACATGCGAAGGTACGCGAGGAAACCCTGGCTGACACTGAAGTGGACTTCGTCGGACGCCAGAGTTGATGTAGGCCTCAGCGCGAGCTTAAGCTTTCGGAGGAGCAGATCGGCTAGCTTAGCCGTGGCGAAAGGGCGGACAGTGGTGCTGTCAAGAAGATCCAACAGTATCGAGTATTTCGGTAGACACCTGTCTCTCCACGTCTGCGGGTCCTTGTCATAAGTTCCACGTTCAGGAAAGGGCGAGGCCTCCAGACGCTCGAACTTTTCCACAATCTGGCCCTCCCATGTCTGGGGCAGCATGAGTGTTTCCTTGTCGCCAGGGGCCGGCAAGCTGTGCGCCTTGACCATCTTCGGCAGGAAAATACACAGCTCGTCGTCATTGTGCCCATCAGACCAGTGGCTGTTGATGAACTTCTTGAAGGGATCGCGGAACAAGCTGCGGAAGCGCTGAGGATCCAGCTCCGAAAAGTAGGCGCAGAATGGGATGAACCACCGCATCAAGGGGTCCCTCTGCATGGCGTTCATGAAATCGTTAATCTGCGAGAAGAGGGCATCCATGGGAGCGGCGTGCCAGACCACGGCAGCATTGGCGACCACGTGCTTCCACACAAGACTACTGTCAGCAGGCGAAATCTCGGGCCCACGCTTGGCAGTAAGGTCGAGCATTGTGACAAGAGTTCGCACGAGTGTTGACCAGTTGTTGACTCGCTCTCCACTGCGGACGCCCGCGGCGGTTGCGATGACCCTGATCAGTGGCACGAACCTCCAGGGCTGGTCCTGTACCTTTTGCTCCAGCGCGTATTCCGCCTCGCCCTGGATGGCCTCGAGCATGGGTGGGAACTTGTCGGGGTTTGTGTGATGAATTACACTGGTGAGAACGCCACAGATGACGTCGTTCCAGGGTGTGTTTTGCGCCAGGTTGAGCTCATACTCGGGCACAGCACGGAGGAGGGCCTTGAAGATGATGGGACCAGTCGAGTGCATGGTCTGGCCGGTGCCCTTGATGGCCTCGGCAAACATGGTCATGATGCCGTCTTGATACAACTGAAATTGCCTGTCACCCGACATGCTGAGCAGATCGTCTCGAGCATGTTGAATAATGTCGACCAGGGCCGTCTCTCGATTTGCGGGCGCCGCGGCCTTCTTGATGAGGAAGCTGGTGGCCTCGGCGGCGAACCGGGCGATGTAGGGCGGGTGTCGGGTCTTGCCGAAGAGGGGTGCAAGAACGTTGTAGGTAGGTCGGATGTCAGGGACGATTAAGCGTGAAAGGTACTTGAAGAGGAATGCGAGGGCAGCGAATGTGAATTCGACAACCTCCACAGGCTGTGGCTTGCCGGCAATGGCAACGATGAGGTCTAGCGATCGGGCATAGTACTTCTCGAAGCGGGTTCCGAGGTCGTGTGCGAATGCCGTGAGGAGGTCCAGAAGAGGCTCTAAGGACTCCTTCTCCTGGTTGGAAATGTAGTGGGACAGCGAAGCAAAGATCCTGTCCTCGTGATGCAGGATCGAGGCAAGTGTTTCTGTTAGGGACAGAGTCTCTCGCTTGAAAGAGATGAAGTCCTTGGCAATGTTGAGTTCATTCCATCGCTCGATGCCGGTGCGAAAGTAGGATGTGGTGCTCTCGAGGTCTTCGGTTTCGAGGTCGTGTCGTCGCACTTTTCGGAGGGGATCAAGACTGTGCAGCTTGCCAATCTTGGTGCTGAAGGACTCCCATCGGTGGTTCTTCTGATGGGGAGTCAGGTTCTTGCCCTTGCGGGCTTTTGTGATCCTGCCCGATGATACCGCAGGCATGGTGGCGGTATTACTGGGGGAGGAAGCAGGTCGGTGTCGAGACTGACTTACGAGAACGTTGGCGTGCTCACGTCGCCTCTAGATCGCGAACTCGAGGGTCCCCGCTGTCCCAGTCGTCCTGGACAAAAAATTTGGGTTGATCTCTGCTGATAAGCTGATAAGAAGGACTTCGATAAGGCCGAGGTGCGATAAAGCTAAAATTCGGGGTTGAAGTGGGCTGCAGCCAATCAACGTGCCGTCGCAACACAGCTTCCGTGAAGCGAAGCCTGACCCCATCGACGTCAATTGGTTTTCACATCGTCGACCTCCCATGAACAACCTGCCGACAGCCACGACAATCACAGTAGAAAAACCCCCAGAGTCAGGCAATATGGCTGCCCCGAAGGTGTCAGTACTTCCCTTGCTCTATGGAGTCCCCTCTTCGTCCTTTTATGAGCAGTATTGACGACCTTTAGACTAGTTTTCGGTGCCCTCAACGGCGCGCTCAAGCCTGCCTTCAATAAGGCTGCCACCTTGCACTCCAAGAACAAGTTCGACTTCGCCATCATTTCCGGCAACCTCTTTGCCGAATCTGACGATGAAATAGCGGCCTCCCTACTGAACGGCGAGATTGTCGTGCCCCTTCCGACCTATTTCACTGTCGGCACATCCGCCCTTCCCGCTACCATTGTTGCCAAGATCGAGGCCAACGAGGAGATATGCGAAAACCTACACTTCCTCGGCAAGCGCAGCGTCACCAAGACTACAGATGGTGTTCGTATCGTGGCGCTCGGCGGAAACCTCGATCCGGAGATTTTGGGGGGCACATCTAAGGAACAACACCTTCCCTTTCACACAGGTCACGACGCGAAGACGCTCAAAGGCGCGGGCCAAGCCGATATCCTGTTGACAACCGTCTGGCCTGCCGGCGTCTGGGGCGGATCCAAAACCGCCCCTACCCCCGAGAACCAGGCCCTCATTGCCAGCACAAAGGAAGTCGCCGATCTCTGCGACGCGTTGCGACCTCGTTACCACTTTACGGCGTCACCTGCCGAATTCTTCTACGAGCGTGAGCCCTTCTTCCACATGCCCAAGGAAGGCTCCGAAGAGCGACCGGTGACCCGGTTCATCTCTATGGCGCCCTACGGTAACGCAGCCAAAGCAAAGGCCATGTATGCATTCACCCTCTCTCTGGGTTCGACATCGCTCGACCAACCTGCCGGCACTACGGCCTCGCCGTTCGCCGCCAGGGCACCGAAGCGGAAGCCCCTTGACGACGCCCCCTACAGCCGTTTCGCTGACAGCCACGATGGCAAGCGTCACCGCGGAAAGCGCGGACGCCACCGCTCGCCGCCTCCCGGTCCGGAGCGCTGCTTCTTCTGCCTGTCGAACCCGAATCTCTCCCTGCACATGGTCGCCACCATTGGCGAAGACAGCTACCTTGCTACCGCCAAGGGGCCGCTCGCCAAGCCAACGACGTTCACCGAGCACGGCATCAACTTCCCCGGCCACATCATCATCACGCCCATGGCGCACACCCCAACCATCGCGAGCGCGACCGCCGAGAGCTACTCGACAGCCGATGCGCAGCGTACCCTCGACGAGATGACGCGCTTCCGCGAGTCCCTCCAGGCCATGGTCGCCGCCAAGTCCAGCCACAAGCTCGGCGCCATCACGTGGGAGATCAGCCGCGGCCGCAACATCCACAGCCACTGGCAGTTCCACCCCGTGCCGGCCGACCTCGTGCAGAGGGGCCTCGTCGAAGCCGGCTTCCGCGTCGAGGCCGAGAACAGCAAGTACCCGGCCCTCGAGGCCCGCGACCTGCCGACGCTCGAGAGCCAGCAGGCCGCCGGCGACTTCTTCCGCCTCTGGCTGTGGGCCGACAATGGCGACGACCGTATCAAGGGCACGTGTCTCGTCATGCCGCTGCCCGACGCGCCCGACGCGCCGCGCTTCGATCTCCAGTACCCTCGTCGCGTCGTTGCCAAGCTCCTTGGCCTCGAGGACCGATTCGTCTGGCAGGACTGCGCCCAGACTGAGGACGAGGAAAAGGCCGACGTCGACGCCTTTCGCGAGGCCTTCCGCGAGTGGGACTTCACGCTGCCACCCGCAACAGCATAGTTTGTTCCCTCAGTGATGCCTACCTACCTAGGTACTAAGCACTAAGCAGGCGGGGTAAAGGGCTGGCAGACAGCGACCCCCGCTGGATCATAGCACGCGGCGTTTTGGGAGAAGGGAAGGGAGGGGGCCAAGGTCTTAATGCATCAGCCCCGAACGGCGTTCAAATAAGGGGTGAATCTTTAAAAAGGGAGTGGGCGGGATGTGGATAATAGGTCCCCCAAGAATCGGTGTTTTTCTTTCCTCCTCATTGCACATTTGCATCATCTTTGCCAATGGGAAACAATACATGGGCTTTCTTCCTCTCCCTTCGCGGACACGTAGCTTTGACACGGAAACCGCATTTCGACGCGGCAGTACTCGGCGCTACTTTGGGTGTGTGTGCAATGACAGAGCGCGCCACCTTGGACCTTAAAGCGCGGATTTAGGTGTAAGCACTTGCATTTCTACTTGTGAATTCTTTTGAATGTTGGTGCATGGAATTGTGGCGTCGTGTAAGTTTGCTGTGATCCTGCATCTGAATCCACCCGCCTCGGCAGCTGAGACATGGAGTCAATGAGATCTTGGCCCCCGCCCCCACCAACATGCGCTGGCTATTGAGGGGACCGCCCGTGGCGATATATATCGTGGAGTGCATTTCCGCATCCGGCGATAAGCTTCGCGATACATACCCTCGAGGATAGTTCACAATTCACGCCTTGAGTAATGCCAACGGGTCTTGGACGCCGCTTGGGGTAAAATCTGTGATCGAGCAGGCACGATATCCATAGCGGGCAGGGTGCCAATCCGGAAAGTGCTCGGTGAATGGACTGCTTGGTCTGACTGGCACACGCCTCAATAGAACGAGACAACATGTCACTCGTTGTTCGCGCAGGTCAGAAGTCACTCTATCACATCGCGGCAAGCACCCCATAGGTATGCGATAGTTCCTCAATTCAGTACAGAGTAATGGCCAGCTCGTCAAGTGATCCGTAGACCGTCATTCCATGACACCAATTGCCACAGAAGTATTGTACAGAAAGAAATCCAAGGGCGTCTCTGCCCTTGCTTGACAGAGCAAAAACAGGTTGCGAGTAGCCAGTGGTGTTATCCACCAGGGTCGGCAGCCTAAAGAAAGGGTGACATGCCGGACCAGAACCGCATTCCTTCGTATTTGCCCCTTGCTGGGTCAAATTCTGCACTGTACGTTGGTGTGTACCAACGTCAAATGTCGATCTCGCGCCAATGGAGGCGGGTACGACCTGAGGGTTTGTCATTGTTGTTTTTTTGTTTCTTGTGAGATGTCGTTAAGGAATAAGCGTCGTGGGACGTACGCATCCGGCAGAGGATGCGAGATGTGTGTGGTATCATGGGTCGACCGGGTCGAGAAAAGGCTGCTAGGAGCAGCCGTGGTTAGGAGGAACTAACTTAAAACCTCTTGCAGAGGTTGGCAGGAAATTCCTGGCAAAGAGACGCGAACGTGGCGAGTTGAAAGCCGCGACCGGATCAAGCGTCGAAGATGTTCGCTGCACCTTTGAATCGGTGTCGACCGTCGGTAATAGAGACAAAGAAGAAGAAGAAAAGCAGAAGATGCGTGAACACAACAAGGAGCCAATCGCAGATTCCGGATCCAAAAATGGACTCCTTAGCAAGGAGGCAATGCAGATGCCGAGGACAGTATGCCAATGCGTCTAGTGCCGGCAAAGTGCTCATAAAAGAGTCTTAATTAGCGTAGGGTGGTCATTTCGGCCGCAATCAGGCAACGCTTTTTTTTTGGCGTCAAACGCGAACGAGCAGAACGAACGAGGGCCAGTATGTGCAGGGAGAAGAGGCGGTATGAACACGGTTCAGGCTGCTGGTAATATGCCCTATTAAGGGTTCACTCGAAGACGGCTCTTCACACCGTCCCAAGGAATATAGGGAGCTCGACGGAAGAAACGTCGCTAAAGCCGATTGGGGGAGTGAGGTGACCCATCTGCTTGGCAAAGACAAGCGACTCCATTCGTATTGCAGGCGAAGGAGCGCAGGTCTTGGTGGCTTAGTATGAAGCCATACGCCTCGAGTGAGCGTACGAACGTTCACCGAGGATAGGAGAGTTTCCAATCATGGCAATCGGATCTTGGCGGACCGTAAGACGAGGTCTCGAGGCGGGAGGAGCAGTAGGTGACTGGTCGACACAAGACTCACGCTGCCCAAAGGCAAAGGTTTGCGCGCGGCCGAGGCCCTTACGGCCATTCTTGAGACGGCCGAGTTCGCGCTCACAGGTGCGCTGATGGTTCTCATCAGACATCTCGACATAGTTGGGAGGGTAGCAGCGCGCGCGGTGCGAGTCAAAGAAGCCACTGTATCCGCCCTCGAGGATGTACACATCGGGATAGGTGAGTCTGGGGTAGTGCTCTACATTCGCGAGGCGGTCTTCGGAGCGAACGTGGCGAGCCATCAGAGGTGCGCGGTGAGCCGAGTACTCGCAGTGAAAGATCAATAATGACCGTCCCTTCATAGGAGTCTTGAACAGGTGAGACGCCAAGAGGTCTTTGCTGTTATAATTGACAGCGCCATCGATATGACCACCATCGTACTCGTACTCGAAACGGCAGTCAATGATCATCTTCTGGTCGTAGTGCTCGCTGTACTTGCCATCGAGCACGTCCACCATGGTCTCCTTGGAGATCCTCGGGATCGCGTCGGAAGGGTCTTCTGCGGCGTAGTGGGGCAGAACGGCTTCGGGCACACTCTCGACATCGGAGACGGATTGTAGCTCGGTAGTGACAGTGGACGAGCTGTCCTCGGCCTTGGACTTCATGATATCAGCCGGGTGCTCAAACATGCTCAGGGAGCGACGGAACTGCTTGCGGGGGCGCATGAAAGGGTTCGAGGGGCGTCGGCTGTGGCCGCTGCCGCAGGGTCCGTTCCGGCTGCCCATGCCAGCGAATTGGGCCCGGGAGCGCAGAGCTCCGGGAACTGCAGCCGTGGGGCTGTTGGCGGTCTGGGGACGCCTCTCTTGGGGAGGGGATGCAGACTCGAAGCACTCGCCAAGTGAGAGCGCAGAGCTCATGTGATTGAGGCGACTTTCACCGGCCCCGAAGCGGAAAGTGGGGAGCTGGTTATCTGTCAGGGTATTGGCCCGGCCAGTGACGCCACATGTCGAGAAGCCCTTCATACGTGTGAGCGAGGGGCGGCGAGGGGCGACTTTTCTGCGCCTGAGTATGCGAGTCAGCGGGGTAATGCACGACATCTAGCGAACAACTCACTCTTGTCCAATGCCCATACCCATAGCCATGGATTTGGGAGGCTCCAGCAGAACCTGGCGTGTGATGGGTGCCGGAGAGTCGAGCATCATCTCGTCATCAGTGTCATTTCCCGTCGGCGTTGACAACGGAGTGGGCGAGGTGACTTCGATCTGTGAGCAGAAGGGGGCTTTGTGCGGGAGAGGAGAGATGTCCATAGACTCGTGCAGCTGTCCAGGCGAAGACGAGGCCAGAGGTGGGGTCGTCACATAGTCTTTCTGTACGTTAGCCTAAACTGAGATGACTGAGGCGCCGAGAGAGAGACACTTACGTCGCGAGTCATCAGCGACTCCGAACATAGACATGCTCGAGGATGTGAAGAGAGCACGACGAGGCGTCGGGAAGGGTGGGCTACTCGTGGTTAGCGTGTCAATTACGATGAACCGTAACAATGAGTACGCACCTGGCGTCCGCATCGAGACGAAAGTTTTGTGACAGGTCAGCAGCCAGACTCGCGGCAGGTGACGAACCTCGAACGTCCTTAACGTTGAAGTAGTCGGGGTTCGGCTTGTGCAGACGCTCGCGGAGGCTCATGCTGCTGGCACCACTGGTCATGGCTGAAAGGTGAGAATGGGCATGAGAGCGGAACATGTCGTTGGAACGGAACATGTCGTTGGAGCGGAACAGGTCATTCGAACCCCAAGGGGGCGGCACTGGGCGGTGCATAGTGGCGAGCGGCGAAGAGTCCTCCATCATGGCTGTTGTGGGCGGTAATGAGGGGCTGGTCTGTCGACAAGCTAGAAACCAAGTCGGTACGACAGATAAGGACGAATGATGATGGCCAGGGCGCGAGGTCCAAGACGATATTCGATATGTCGTGACGTGAAAGAGTGCAGAGCGTTAAGATAAGAGGTCACAGTAAATGAATGCTGCAACTTCTCTTCCTAAGATGCTGTAGCCCTCCTTGCTCGTGCTAGGATCATCAATTGAGTCGGTCGGTCGGCTGGCTGGCCGGTCGGGTCGGGGCACGGATGGGTGGAGGAGGTTCGATAGTTCGATCTGACGAGGCCAGACTGATCAACAGCGGGAGAGATCGAGGGTCGATGTCGCTATCGTGCTCGAATCCGTGCTTCGTGTCGTGCAAGTTGCTCGCATTGGAGGATGGAGACTCGCCGATGGAGCTGGGTTGAGGGGTGAAGCGAATGTCAGAATCTCGATGGCCGAGATTCAATTCGAACGAGTGTCAAAGATGCCACGATGGCTTGCTCCTTCTATCGGATTGTCGAAGGCACAGACGAGCTGTTCCACCAAAGGAGACGTCTGTTCTTGTCGATAAAGGTCGAGGGGCAGGCGAAGGTTGGCCGTAAGACGAGGACGGGCGGCCACTGGTGGGGGAATGGGGGTCGAGTCCGGGTGATGATGGACTGGATGGACGGGTCAGGAGTCCTTCCTTGTCGACGGTCGTGAGGTGTGACGAGGAGGATGGCGGGAGAGAGTGAAGCTCACGAGGAGGTGAGGAAGGAAGTCAAGGCAAGTGGAGGGGGGCAGCTGAGGTTTTTGTGAGACGGCCCATAGAGCCAGCAGACCAGGATGGAGATGGTTCTGGCGTCTGGTTTCCGTGCCGTTGCTGGAGAGCCCGCAGGAGGAGTCTCGCGTGCATGCCCAGTCCTAGTCCCAGTCCCAGTCCCCAGTCCAAGAACGGGTTCAGTTTCCCACTTGCCAGTTGCCAGGTTCAGCGTCCGGGTCCTGCCATGCACCAGCCAGGGCTGTACGGGTGTGGGCGGGTGGGAAAGCGCTCCTTGGCTCAAGGTTGTCAGGGGCGATCGTGGTAGCGTGAGTAGCTCGTTCTTTCCTCCCTTTGCTCGGTTTCTGGGGGGGGGGTGGTTGTCGACAGGCCCGTCTGGCCGACTGTCTGACCTCTCGCACAGGGTGACGAGTGGGGCCGTTATCTTTCCTGACGCCAGCCGTCGGCGGCTGCGGTCCAAGTCGCTTCCTGGCATGGGCATCAGCAGCTCAGCCCTGGCAGGCCCGCTACCGGTCCCCAATTCGGACGGGCATTTACAGGGGTCCCGTCAGCGAGGCGATTTGGGGCGCCGTGGCTGGCTGGACGGCGTCTCCACTCTCACTATGAGGGACGCCTGCCCTTGCGCTCACAAGCGCTGGTGCTGGCCGCTCGCGCTCGGCGCTGCCCTTGCTTTCCTCCACCGAGCCACTCACTGACGACAGTCAGTGTCCACTGGCGCCGGGCTGGCAACGGGCGGTCCAGGTTCAGGCGCCAGCGCTTTTCCACAGCAACCAGGCCTGCGGTTTCCTGGTGGATATTGGAACGACTGGAGAGAGAGAAGGGTGAGAGGGATTTGACGAGCCCGCTCTCGTGGGCTCCCAGTCCGGGTTCCCAGTCCATGCCCTTCCCTCCCCCAGGAAGGAGCGGTGAGTCGACGCCCACCAGACCAACTGAACATCTGTGACAGGGTCCCAGCTTCTCACCCTCACCTCACCTCACCTCGCCTACCTTAGGTACCTAGATAGGTAGGTAGGTAGGTTGTCACCTACCATGTATTCATCGCCTTACCATCACCACTGCCGGGCCCTCACCCCGCCCCGTTTCCTCGCACAGGGCAACCGGCAGCCCGTCATCCCGTCCACTTTGACGGCCATTCACTCCTTTGCGCTCATCATGGTGGATGCTGACGGGGGACGGCACACACGAATGAGTGTGACGACAGGGTAATCCCCTTTTCCACGACGACACTTTCAACTACATTCCTGACCGTTGGGTCGGCTAGAAGACGGGGCGGTCCCTGGAGATTCGTTCGGCCGCGTAGAAACCCACCGCATGGGGAGCTTCCCTTTTTTTTTCTCCTCAACCTAATTTAAGGCCGTTTTTTCTCTTCAGTCTCAAAGCATGGATAGGCAGAGTACGGCATAACGCACGCGTGCCAGCTGTGCCGACATGCCAGACAAACGGACGGTGTCAAATGGTTGCACTCCAACGAATAGCGCGGGGCCGTGCGTCGTCCGATCGGTGCATGTGCTGCTGCCAGCTGGCTGTCGTGTAGCATTGAACGAGGGCCGTTGTCAGTTTCCAGACAAGTAATTTCTCCTCCCTACCTGAGCAGCCAAGTCAACCCAAGGGACCGCCCAAAGGGACCGAAGGGAGCATGACGTAGAGCGAGGCTGCAGACTTGGAACCGCAATCTTGAAAGCAATCTTGAATAGCACCCTTTGTTCGAGGTGGCATATCGATCGAGTTGCGCACCTTTGACGGTGCTGTCCTCCTTGGCTTTTGTGTGTCTTTCCTTGACAGCTGTCCGGAAACGGACAGCATCAAAACAAAACAAGGCAGATCACATCACAACTGAGCAGGGGGAGCAGGCAAGCGGAGGAAGGAACAAGCAGATCAAGCAAGGCACAACGCACAAAGCATGTTCATGCTTCTCATGCTTGCTCGCTCATGCTCCAATGCCATGCAGCAGCGTCCCTGCAGCCTGATGAAAGTTGCTGCAGATGGCCACTAGAGGCGCCAGTCACAAGTCAGGAGCTCCCATAACCTCTCCACTCCGCTGCAGCTGCCCGCGTGTACAGGCGTTGGGATGGCTGACTTGCACCTATCCAGCACGCCTGTGCCCAGCTGCACTCGTAACACTTGCAGCACACTTGCACCTGGATTTCCTGCACTGGATCATGCTCCTGCATAACAACGGGAGCGGCAAGGCAGGCGGGATCGAACAGCACGAACGCCTCTTGTCTGTGGGTTCCTCCTCCTCCTTCTCCAGCTTGTCTGACGTGTGGTCGACGTGGGTGTGAGACGAAACAAACAAACCATGCGCTTGCTCGTCGCGCACCGCACTTTCCCATCATGCCTTCGTCATATGGGGTATCAATGGCCTAGGCTCGGTTCTTCGTTTTTTTTTCCCCTCTGTTCCCCTCTCCCTGGCGGACAGACATGCCGACCGACGAGACCTCCTCCACATTCGGGGACACTGACAGGCCTCTCCATCACTTCAATCTTTTCCATGTCCTCAGGGAGCGCAGCGGGTCTGGTCCTCCAACGGCCGGGCCTGGCCATTCATCCTTTTGAGCCCTGGGCCCTGTAATGGCAGCATGAGCGGCTGGCTCTTTGACACAAAACAACCCTTGCAGTACCACTTTGCTGTTTCACACCAATTCCGATTCGAGACTGCGGAGTACAGATCACGAGAGAGCTTCTCTTGAAAGGGACGGGACGCCCAGGCAGACGACCCGATGAATTGATGGGACGAGTAAGAGATCATTAAGTCCGTGGGTTGCCAATTCGACCCAGCACCTCCACCTGTTACAGGCTTTCTCTGGCCCGTTAATTGGCGTCGGTGACCTCGGGGGGAGGCTCGGGAGAATTCTACAACGTCGAGGCGGGTTGCCAATTGAGTGAAGATCGTCACAACGTAACCCTCCCTCGTCTCACGCATGCCGTATCTGGCAGCTGTCGTCCACGGACCTTGGTCTTGGATCGGGCAAGCTGTGCGGGTGCAGCGTCAAATTCTCAACCGAGCCCGGGAAATTTCTCTCCAGCGCAGCCTCTCCCTATCTGTGGATAGGGACCCGAGAGCTCATGTCCGCGAGGTGCACAAACACCCGAGACAGAGATGCCGTCTAAGCAAGACACTTCGAGAGCTCGTGAAAGAACGCTGAATAAATCTCCACACATTCATCGCCGCAATCGCTGCGCTGGATCCACGTGGTTTTCAGTCATCTTCAGTGGTTCACGGCCACCGCGTTCTTCATACCAATACGGCCGGCTTTGGGTACATCGAGGTCTTCGGAAAGAAGGACAGCCACTCGAGGGTTGGCCTCTTCGCTATCGCCATTGGTCTGCCTTGCCTCACTCCCCTCACTCCTTCGTGGCATCTCATCTCAGACGGCGGTTCCGAGTGCGGCGCAGCCCTAGCACTCGGCGGGGGGCTTACTGCAGGATGCTGTCCGGCTGGCTGAGGACCAGGTGTGACAGCGAACTGCAGAGTCACAGGTCCAGGGGCCCCCGAGACGCCCGTGATCCTCGAATAGAGTAACGGCATAACCTCCTCAAAGACGGGGCTCAGAGCCTCGAACAACCTCCATGGTACTCGCTCTTCCCTCATCCAAATCTCGAATCGTGAGACCCATCTGAAAGCTATACTGGTCTGTCTAGAAAATCTGGAAGATGCTCCCTTTGACAGGGCGAACCTGTAAGTAGTCAGACTTGGAGTTGGTGCAACGCTAGAGAAACATGTTTCTTGAAGAGCTTCCCCCACTACCAAAGCTCCAGCACGACGCACATCAGGGGACCAGTGCTCGCTTACGAACTGTCGCTATTCAATTACCCTGTTGATATCAGGCTGCCGACCCTGTCTGTGTGCACCACTCACAATTTGGCACTAAGCTGGTTGCTCGGCAGAACTGCGCGCAAAAGATACCACCTTTGAAGATCCATCTCGAACGCGATCCCCGCAGCGATGAAATCTGTTCTGGGCTCCTACAGCTTGCCATTGGTCCTCTAGTTTCCTGGGCACGACCTGATAGTGGTGAACTTCGTCTCCCTTCCAAACCCATACCAGACCAGTTTGGGCAAGCGTCAACTTCTCCTTAGCCCAAATCGTGAGGGATCTTCCCTCTTGATGGCGCAACGCGACCGCCGTCCAGCTGGAAGCTGTCTCATTGACTAAATTCGGACCCAGTTGGCTGCTCGCTACTCGTCCTGAATACGCTTATTGTATGCTGTTTGCCAAAGCGAGCTTCGTCTTTGACGGCTACTCCGGCCGTGTTTCCTTTGGTCCCAGACATGTGCACGCGCGCGCTCGACTCACCATTGTCGACACATCGACGGTTGCCACCAACACCACAGGACTTCGCCTGGGCCCCACTGAAGAATCAAATGATGATATTCGCTCGTCAAACTGTGCAGGTTACAGCCGCCATCGGCCTTCAGCTGACGAATCGCCTTTCTGCCAAGATGAAGCGGCGAGAGTTCGAGGTCGCCCGAGACCAGACCCTCGACCCGTCCGGAGATTTTACTGATCGTGTATACCAGGTCCTACTCCCTTGGGCGCGTCTCCCTTCCCAAGGGGATAGCCCATTTAGCGCATCCTAGGAACCCAACTATTGCCTGCAGCCGCCAGGCCACGACCGTCTGGTAGCATGTCACAATGGCCAGCCCTGAATCAATGCCGACAGTTTACGCAACGCCTGACTGAGGTTTCCAAGGCACATAGCCTTGGTCTGAACCGACGTGGGGCCCGAATAAGCGGCCCTGCTCGATCCCTCACCCAACCCTCAGATCCCCCAACCTAGGTCCGCGCTTTTAATCGACGTCATCCGGAGCATCGGCGTAGACAGATCGTCACCGACTCCATCAACCTCCTGCACCGCATGTCCCATATCGAGATCCTGCTCTGCATGCCCAGTTTCTGCCATGCCACTTTGTCCTTTCAACCGAACCATCTGCATGGTCCCAAAACACAAAGGGTGACGGCGTAGCATCGATTTTTCATGCGCAGACACGACAAACCGGTTTCCCATTCAGTCCGCGGTTGTTGCTTTGCTTTTTTTCGCTCGCTTCTGTCTCTTTGTTTACTATGCTCTAGCTCGTCCGTATCATGGGTGGCCAGCTCAGCCCTTTGAGCTTCTTAGAGGTCAATGGGAGGGCGCTGCCAACGCACGAGACGCGGGCCATTGCCTCCCCTCCTGTTCTTTGCATCCCGTCGACATCTCCTGTGCACCTGCGTCGCGATATGACTGGACGCTGCAGCAGACTACTGGGCGGTAAGACATCTGGCCAACAGAGGCACCCAATCGCCTCGTCCGCTGTGCAGAGCTAGCCTGTCGTGCTTGGACATCTGAGTTTGACCACGCTGCAAGCTTCTGCTGCAGTCGGGATGAAGGGGGCCGCAGCCGTGCTCGAGAATTGCCATCCAGAGCAGCGGATTTCCCCTCATCAGAATGCGGAATGTGGAACATGGCCTCACCTTTCCAAGTCTTCCGCGCCGTTCTCTGAATTCCGGGTGGCTGAGGGGTCCCCCCTCCCGACGTTTGGGGGAAAGCATATTTGCAACAGAATAAAGCAAACTTGTCTGCCGAATCCTAGAACCTAGGTGAGTCCAAACATGTCGCAGCAATGCGTTCTTTACCAATACCAACCCCCGGCTCAGTGGTCATGTGCAATCCTTTGGTAAGCTTGCTGCGGTGCGATGGTGTGACGGGGCTGACCTCGAGGAGGGGCTGATTATGAGGGGATCACAGTGGAGAGTGCGGAGTAAACAAAGAAAAGTGACGCGATCCATGTAAACAATCACAGCTACGCGCCGCGACCCTTGCACACACGCGAGATCACGTGCAAGGTCCATTAAACCTGCCGCGGCCCTTTGACAACGGCTTTCCCGAATTCCTGGGACCTGGCGTACAATTACACCACTTCCACACCCGCCACAAGGGCGAGGAGGTTGGCTACCTTCGTTCAAAGATGCCGGTGCTCAACACCCTCCATTGCCAAAACCTCGGTTCGGTGGTAATCTCCGTCCGTGATGCCGCTACCATAGAGACTGGCATGCGCGATCACGGCCCAGATCGAAGATGGCTGGCAAGTTGTCCAAAGTCTTCACAATATCAAGGCACACCAAGGCTAACTCCTTAAACGAGCAATGCTGCGAGATGGCTTGAGCCAATTTTATTGCAGGGAATGGATGTTTGCAAGGCACAACCCTGGTGCCTATAGACAGCTCAGAACATTCCAAGGCTGGCGTAGCGGGACCTGTCAGTGGACTGAAGAGTTGTGTGCCGACGCCGGACAGAAGTCTCAACCCAGAGCACGTCAGTCGCACTGGCCCTCGACTTCATTCACGACAGAACCGGTACCAGGCATGTCCCAAGTGCTCAGAAGCATGGCCTGACCGAGCTATACCCATGGCTCTAGGTATACAAGCAGGCGCATGTTGTGTGTTCGGCATGTGACCTAGGAAACAAGAGACTGGCCAGCGGGAACTTACGGCAAGATTGTGTTCCGAACCGCATAGCCTTTCCACGTTTGACTCCGATGCAATGCATCTCCCCAAGCCACGAGAATCAGGCAGGCTGCGCCTTGCAGACGAACAATTGATCATGGATAGAACGCCACTATCAGCCTGAGTCACCCTATGGCTCTTACACCTAGGATCTTCGGCCCGAGTATAGGAACGTGGTACCACAGTTTGCTGATTTTCTTTGCAGCAAGGTGTCGCGACGTCATTGCAATCAAACGACCCTCGTCCCCAAGACCTGACGGCGTCTTCCCGCATTCCAACACTGAAGCTCTGCCTCTGCCTCAGCCTATGAGGCAGCCGCACAGTCTGAATCATGGGCGTCCCATGTTATGTACCTGGTGCCTGCCAAGCTTTCTGAGCCCTGAACACGGGACCCTTCTCGAGAATGTGGTCTCAGGGGTATATATGCCGTAAGCGAACCGCGGCGCATTCCAGCGCGCGATATCCGTAGATGTCGGCTCCATTCATCTGGGTCCCCAGCCTGCCGTAGCCACATGGCATCCGTGTCTCAGCGCTTTGGCGGTAGAAGCGGGTGTGCCTGGCGCTTGTCAGGTTCTCTGGAGGCGAGATCGCATCGCCACGGCGCTTCCCTCCCCTACGGAATTCCGCGTAAATGACACCGTAACATCCCGGCAGCTCTTCGAGTGGCGAGTTTAATCTTTGCAAGGAACGTTTGTCACGCGGGCATAGTCGGCCATCAACACCGGCGCAGTTGTCCACCGCAACGTCTCCTTTTCGAGGCCTGTGCCACAGCCGCTGTGGGTGGCATTCCGCACCAGATTATCCGACGTCTCTTTCCCCTTTCCTCTATATCCCGTAGTTCACTATTTTGCGCCTCAAGCGCGAATGCCACCGGGTTGCGCTACCTGTCGAGACCCTGAGATGATTACGTGGCACCACCCGCGTGCCAGAGTCGGGGTTGGCAGCAGGCTTGCCAGCTCTAGGGGCTGGAGGGTGCTCCATCGTGGTCGACTACGGGAGTGTTCAATATCCTTCCCAAGAGGGAACCGTTTTGAACCCTGTGCAAGTCTGGAAGCCGTGCTGTGGGGGTTTGTTCGTCGGTACAACCCCTGAAATTTTGATGTTGAACTTGATGGTTGGAAAATGAGCCGAGATGAACAGTTTGAGCTCGAGCTCGGGGTTCATCTTGTTCAGAGACCAGATCATCGTTATGACGATAACAACGGTTGCAGCATCGCGCACGGCAAAGGGTCTCTGCGTCTCTCTGCCGATGCAGAAACAAACTTGGCCGCACTCTCCGGGAGGTACCGAGCTTGTCACCGAGATGGCTGTGTGGTATTGAGATAGAGGTGTGAGCGGCTTTGGCTGTGAGCCGTCGAAAGAGACGCCAGCACGAGGTCCATTGGCTGTGAGCATGATCGACGCGATAGCGTGATGTTTCGGTGTGACACGACGAGTGGTCTCTGGTCACCTGGTGGTGTCGTTGTTGACAGGCGAATACACGTCTCACGTCTGCTGGATGGTGTAGCTGAATCATACAGCAACAGAAAGCTGCCACGTTGACTCCTGTGCGCTACTCAAGTTTGATGACGCTAGCGGTGCTTGTTATGGGCGAGATATGGTCGATGAGTGGTAGCAGTGGTATGATGCCGACTGCTGGTGTGTACAAGCTCTGCACCTGGTGACGGGAGGGGAGAGCAGCATTCGGATTCTTCGGGGTTTTTAGAACATTGCTTTGTTTGTCCGGTCTTGACAGAGACCAGACGTACTTGGGATCGTGATACTTGTATTACAGCTAGTTTGTCGTGCTGGTATTTCGTCCAATATTTCTTGTTCGTCAACATCTTGCGGGAAAGCTTACTTTATCGAACTTTTATCCAATGACCTGAGAAAAACTACATTATAGCTTTAAACCTCCCGTCTGAATATTGACGGAGTATCATGTTTGATAAACTGCATTATATGACAAACTACATGGCATACCGCGATAACTTTTCTTTCAAGTCGTGTCATTATGACTGACCGTTGTCCACTTTCGTCGACGAATTAATTCTAATGAGACTATAGATGAAAACATCGTGTATTGTCCAGAAGTTGAAGGGTTAGAAAGTTTTATGAGCAACACCAGAATCGGCATCTAATCACTCAAACACAGGTACTCCCATTTTCATTCGATTGTCATCTAGCAGTATTACTTGTGCTCACAAATCTAATAGCATCGCAAGTGTACGAATCACCATGCAACCAGCAAACCGCTACAGGCAACAACTCCGACAACCATCAAGATCAACGGCGCCAAGGCCAACGGCTCATCGGTGGGATACGTGATTCTATCGCCCTCCATGGCAAACCCCGACTCGTCCGCGGTGAAGGTGAATGGTTCGCGCCCGATCGTTCCCGACGTCACAGCCGCAAGCACGTGCTCCGTCCGGGTCGTCGTCTTGCCAAAGTAGTCAAACGTGCGCGTGACCGTCTCGCGGGTGGTGTTGATGAGCCGGAAGAGGGAGCCCGTCTTTTCGGCGAGCTCGATGACTGGAAAGTACGAGCAGCACCTATTCTCTGGGTTGGCTGAGAAGCTGCTGAGAAAGACGGTGATCTCCCAGTGACGAATGGTGCTTTACTGCATAGCCAGGGAGGCATCAAAAAGTTTGCGGCCAGGAAGGACGTTGGGCCGCCTTCAGGATACTGGAAGCGGGTTGACGTGAAGACGCCCGTCACAGTGGCTGAGCTGCCGTCCATGGCAATGATGCCAGCAATTTCGTACGCGTTAGGGCAGACAAAACCGGGTGAGTAGTTATAGTATCGGGATGTCAAATCCGAGGAAGTCTGCAGTTGAGGGACAGATGGCGTCGACCTCCTCGCCGTTGGACACACAGTCAGGATACCACGTGCCGACCTCGCAATGGCCAAGTACTACACGATTGAAACGCCAGAGATCCTCGGAATATCGGCAACGCCGCTGACTCTGGTATTGGCTAGAAGAGATGAACATGCTCAGGGCCGGCTTTGCGGAAAACGAAGCCATCGGCAGAGCTGGTATTTGACATGCTTGGTCCAACACGCTTGGGTGTCCCCAGATCTCTGACAGCATGAAGTTCCATTGCAAGATCCGTGTTCTGCTTTGGGGAAAGCAAATAGTTGGTTGAACATGGTACCTGCAATGAGGAACAACCGTTCGTTGAGTTGACTGAGTAGTTCTTCCAGCCAGAAACTCCCTCACTAAGAGAAAGTACTTCATATGTATTATGCACACGCCCCCATCATGGCCAAGCTTCTAAGCCAAGCCTGTAGAGCCACCTTGTAAATCCACTTGTTCGCTGACAAGCCGTAGTCTCTCTCCTTTTGATGACTCTATGTGACCAGGGACTTACTGCACCCCTTTAATAATACTGTTGCGAGACGAAAGCAGGAGAATCATTGGCTTCTACAAAGGTTTGTAACATTGAAAGTTGTGATCATGATCGAGGTTACAGTTGATGGTGGTCGTGATATTGACCAAAAAGACACCCCACCTAAGGCGCGGCTAACTGTGGGGGGAAATCGCGGGGCGGCACCCAATGTTCGAGGCGGTCGCACCCGGCAGAACTTTTCTCTCTGACATTTTTTTGGTGATGCTCTTCACATGCTGCCCAAGTCGCAGCAGTTCAATTGATCCCGATCACTAGATTCTGGCCAATCGAGAGCCCTTCCGACGAAACCATGACAAGGACAGCTTCGGCGAAACGCAAGCGCGCCGAGCGCGAAGCTCTCAAAGAGTTGGAGCGAGCCACGAAGCGCACCAAGAGCGGCGACCCTGAAGACCTCTACGACAAGAAGCTTTTCGTTGAAAAGTCCGCCGGTGGCGATCGCGTGCGCGAGGCTAGGCTCTACGAGCTCCTGGGAAGCGAAGACTCCGACGAGCGAGTGGTCGCTGCCGAAACTGTCATCTCCAGCCTGCTCGACGGTGATGGAGTCCCCGAGGACGTTCTCAAGCGCCACCTCGACTGGCGCCTCTTCCGCGGCCTCGCGAGCGGTCGCGCCGGCGCCCGTCTCGGCTACAGCCTCGTCATTACCGAAATCCTGCGACAGCTCTTTGGCGGTGACGCATCGAGCGCCTCTCGATACCCCGGCCTGACCTTCGACAAGGTCCTGGACATTCTCCACGAGCGGACCAACCCGACGGGACACATGACGGGTCAGGAAGAGAGGGACTTTTACTTTGGCAAACTTTTCGGTCTCGACTGCTTCGTGCGCGCGGGCTTCATGGACGAAGACCTCGACAAGTGGGACAACATTCTACAGCAGCTGCTGGACCTTGCCGACAGGAAGGTCTGGCTGCGGTCGCACTGCGGCTGGGTCGTCATGCAGGCGGTACCCAAGCTCAAGGCCGATGTTGTCGCCTCCATCATCAAGAAGCTCAAGGCCGCCAAGTGGACCAAGACCCCTGAAGGTGTGGGCATCTGGCTGGCGGCGCTCGAGACGCACCCCGAGCTCGAGGGCCAGGGCGTCGAGAACCCACTAGATCCCAAGGTCCTCCCCAACCTGCCGGCCATTCTCAAAGACAGCTTGTCGGGCGAGGAAGCCGAGGAGGAGAGCGCTGCGAAGACGAAGAAGAAGACGGCCAACTGGTCGCACCAGCTGCACTTTGTCTGGCCGTACCTGCTCGGCTACTACGTGAGCAAAGGCGCCGTCACCGACTTTGTCGCCTTTTGGAGGCGTGCTGTCGATGGTGAGTCCTGCCAACCCTTGAGGCTGGGATTGGAGACTGGGCTGACATTCGACAGATAACCTGTTCATCAAGAGCGCATCCGATGGCCAAAAGCTGCGTGGCTTCGTCGTCTTGCAGACGCTGTTGATGCACCCCCTCGAGGGCAACGAATCGACCCTCGAAAGTTTCCTCCCCCACATGTTCAGCAAGAACCTCATGACCTGCCTCATGAACCAGGCCGCGAGCGAGGGTCGCTACCTCCACCGCGCCGCCTGCGCCACCCTGCGCACCGTCGCCCAGGCGGCCCAGCGATCCCCCGAGTTCACGAGCATCATGATTGAAAACTTGACGACCAACAACGGCGTCTACAATTTTGATGTCAGGACGGGCGCCAAGACGATCGAGACGATCCTGCAGCGTATCAAGCCCGACGTGGCGGATGATGTCGTTGGCGTGCTGAGCGCTCCCGTCATCAAATCGTGCACAACCGGAAAGGACATGGACAAGGTCAAGGTCGAGCTGCGCGCCTACGTCGAGTATCTCTTCAAGATGGCCACGGCTGCGCCCGAGGCGGCTCTCCAGGAGCTCGCCTCCCTGGCGTACGCGCCGCCGATCTGGGTCCCAGAAAATGCGTCCGAGTTCGTCAAGGACCTGAGCCGGAACCGCCTTCAGTCGGTGTTTGCGAACCTGTCCAAGAAGGCCGAGGACACGACGTATCTCTGCACCGCCATTGAGGCTATCAGCCCCGATTACATCCAGATGGACGCCAAGCTGAAGAAGGCCGTCGCTGACGCGCGCAAGAAGCTCAAGACCCTGCTGCAAACCGCCTTGGCGAAGCCCGCCGCCGACGGTGCCTCGGACGAGATGAACGTGGCCAAGGGCCTCTCGCTCCTCTACGCGATCGCCATCTTCCAGCTCTACAACGCCGAGCCTGACGCGTTGCAACTTCTTGACGACCTCAGGGACTACCAGTCACGGATGAAGACGGACGAGGACAAGGCGGCCGAGTTTCTCATTGAGATTCTCCTCTCCATGGCGTCGCAGGATTCCGTGCTGCTGCGGCAGATCTCGCAGCAGGTCTTTGGCTGCTTTGCCAGCCGCGTGACGTCCAAGGCGCTGGAGCTCCTGCTCGATGTCTTATCGGCGGATGAGAACGCCAAGGGCCAGCAGTCATTGTTCGACATTGAGAATGACGATATGGATCTGGAAGATTTCGAGGAGGAGGAAGACGACGAGGACGAGGATAATGAGGACGATGAAGATGATGACGTGGAAGAGATCAATGTGGACGATGACTCGGAACTGGAAATCGACTCTGGCGTCCAGTTTGTCACCCTCAACGCCGCTGACGGCGCGAGCGAGGACAAGGAGGGCGAAGACAGGTTCGATGCCGGCTCGGAGGACGAAGCGGCCGAAGACGAAGATGCAGAGGAAGTCAAAAACCTCGAGGCCATCGACGACGCCCTCGGCAAAATACTCAACAGCCATCGCCTCGACAAGGACGCCGACGCCTCCGACTCGGACACCGACATGACGGATTCCGAAATGCTCGCCCTTGACGAGAAGCTGTCGGCCGTCTTCAAGGACCGCATCAAGACCAAGCCCAGCAAGAAGAAGGAGCGCAAGGCGGCCAAGGAGTCCGTCATCAACTTCAAGCGCCGCGTTCTCTCGCTGCTGGAGATTTACATCCGCTCTGAGGCCGGCAGCCCCATCGCCATCGCCGCTCTGCTGCCCCTCGTCCAGCTGATCCGCACGACGACGGTCAAGTCGCTATCCGACCGCTCGCTCGAGCTCACAAAGGAGTACCAGAAGCAGCTCAAGAAGGTGCGGGCGGCGAACAAGAAGCAGAAGAAGACGGTCCAGGTGGACGCCGAGGCCACGCTGCAGCTGCTGAAAGATATCCATGCCGAGGCTGCGGCCAGCGAGATGAACGACCACGCCAAGGCCGCGGCTGCCGCGAGCCTGATTGTCGGATCCACGCTGTTCATCGCCGACCAGGCGAGCCGGCCGGCTGTCGAGGCCGAGTTTGCCAAGCTCGAGCGCAAGCCGGAGAAGAAGGGGCGCAAGTCGAACAAGAAGAAGAAGGCGGGTGAAATTGACATGGCCATGGACTGGAAGAACTGGCGCCAGAACTATGAGGCAGTAAAGAGGCAGTAGGTCTGTCTGTCGTGTGTTGGGGAGTCTAATGCGAGGGCCAACAGCCAACAACCGAATACCAAGGTTTGAATGAGATTTACGTGCAAGGTGCTCAAAATAAGAAGGAAGTGCTTGCCCTCGTACCTTGATTTCCATGACCATGTGTTCCTTTTGGTGTACTTTCCTCCCGCATCAGTGCTGTCTTTTGCTCGAACCAGTCTACAGCCATAAAAGATGAGAACGATGCCTGGCGCTACGAGCAACTCGACACACATAAACAAAAACACCTCGCCACCATTTAGTACCCAGTCAGCATCATACTTACCATGCATTCGAATACAGGCCTCAGTCCCGCGATCGAGCACTTGCTTCGTTGCGGGAATGACGGAGAGAACCAGCCTCTCTCTCGCCGCGGCCGCTTCCACGAACACGGTGCGAAGCCTCCGGCCTCGAGTTAGGCCCCGACACCACTCCAAACCGCGACATGGGCCGGGGATCAAGTGACTCCTCCTGCTCTAGGCGATAAGTAGTACCCGCAGGATGGCTCGCCCTGGGCTCAGGAGTCACAACGCGGTACTCGGGACGATATGGTAGAAATCCCGGTGCGGCTGTTGGCTGGTGTCGTTCTGCAGAGAGAAAGCGCGACTGGGGTCGAGCCGAGACGGACTCACCGTGTTCATGAGCATATGTCGTGCCGGTGCCATTGCCAGGCACAGGCTCAGGAGTAGCACTACGGTTTTCCGGTCGATAGGGACTGAAGCCCCCCCGAGTCGACGCCTGGGGCCCGTTTCGAACTGCAGACCGAAGGCGTGATGGGTTAACTGGCGCCGGATGACCCTCGGACCTATTGAGGGAGCTACCAAGCTGAACCCCCTGACGCTCAACCTGATTCAACCGGCGGGACACTTGCGGTCTCGGTGGCGGACGAGCATCCACCGCCGTCCCAATGCTTCCCCGTAGAGGAGGGCATTCGGCAGTGTCGTCTTCAAACTCATACCTACCCCTGGGTCTTCGATGGAAAGACGTCATGCTTGACTCGTGGCGAATATGGACAGGCGCTTGACGGGTTGAGTACGGATTGGGTAAGTTACGCGTAGCTGGAGGAGGATCATTGACCGCCCTCTCTAGTGACGGGAAGCTCTCTGCAACCGGGCGACGGCGGTCCCGCTGCTCGCGGCATTCCTCATGACGAGCGCCTCCGATGCGGCCCTCCACCTCGTGCTCGAGACGGTCGATTTCTGCACTTGTCAGTCTAATAGGAGGAGGGGCGACCACTCTGTTGTTGACGATGAGATGGCCAGAGTTGACATCCATCCTTATCTGACTGGGCTCCAGGCCCAAGTGGTCAAAAATCCAGTTCATCCAGATATCAAAACTCCGCTCGGCCCTGCGGTCAAAATGCACAAAGCGCGTGGCAGTGGGATGAACCAACCCTCTGATGCCCCGCAGGTCTCGCTGCAAAAGTATTCGGAATCGGGAGAATGCCCGTTCAAGATTGTTGGAGCCCATGCTCTCCAGCCCCTGGATGCCCGTTGACACCTGGCTGTGACGCTGGTTGGCGTTGGCCATGGCCACACAGCCTGGGCAAGTTGTAAAGCGAACACCCAAGCCTGCTCTTGCAAGGCGGATCCTTTCAATGCACTGACAAACTCTCGAGGAGCAGTAGCAGCTAGGCACGAGCCGATGGAAGGGGCAAAGCTGAGAGCCCGGCATTTGTGTAGCTTGTGTGGGTTGTGAAAACGCGTACGGGTGTGGTTGGTATCAACTTCTTCTGAGGTGGAAATTCGCTATTGAGATGCTGCCCGGACCTGCGGGATGAGGAATGTTCAGTTCACAGAAAAAGAGGTATAGTAAGTCAGGTAGCATGCGATGGTACGAGTATGCACGTTTGAGTCTTGGGCTGGTGTGGTTCCAGCGGAGGGTGGTTGTTGGTGTGGCCAAGAGAGAGAGAGAGAGAAACTCGATTACACGATGGCCATAGTTTATAAACTTCAAGGATGCCTTTGAAGATGACTTGTGTCGAACAATGTCTATGTTTGTGTAGCCGTAACGAAGACGGTCGATCGAGTTTGAGCCCCGTGTTTCCACAGTGAGACTGGACTTGACCAGCTCTTTGTTCCATAGCAAGGTTGCCATGTTGCTTAAGATATTCGCGTTCTGAACAGCAAGCCTGATAGAAATAAAGCAGCAACACAGGCGAGTTGAGAAGAGAACCCTGTCTATTAGTTGAGTTCAGCAGTTGTGATTTGCGTTCGTAGGAGGTTCGCTGCGTTTGTGTCTTCTCGAGCAATCAGGGTTAATTATCCTGGTTGAGAGACAAACGCGCAAGTAGCCACAATTATCGGGGCTAGAAAGTATGAGTATAAAGAGAGAGATAACTTCCTTCAATATAAAGAACCTAGGAAGAGGTTAACGAAGACAAGACCTCATCCATGTTGAGGCCAGAGATCATGCATCTATCGAACACCTTCTCGATCGGTTATAATACTACCCGCATAACTCTATACGACGCTCCCCTTTACTTTAGGTGGCTACCTTCGCAAGCTTACCTTTCCTTACTTATGTACCTAAGGTAGGTAGGTAGGTAAGGTATCTTAGGTACTCAGGTACTAGCAGATGGACAGATCGGACCAGACCCCAAATAGGGCAAGCGGAGGAGATGGTGACCCCTGCCATTGCTGCGCTGGTGCAGTGCTCCTGCTGCCGCCAGGGTCCATGTCGCATCTGGATCAAGAAGTTACCTTTGCCCGTGCTCCCTTCTCCATTCTCCCCCCCAAAGAGACCACCTGGCGTCCCACGTCGACGACAGACAACAACTTTTTTTATCTCCGCCTGAAGCCATCTACGGGACTGGCTGCCCTTCCGTCTTGTGAGTCGAGTCGAAAACACCAATTGTCCAAGCTGACCCTGCGTTCATAGCACGGCATTTCTTCTCCCCCTCAGGAGGACACACACTCCCTTTCGAGCAACATCCCTCACCTGGGAGCTGCTCCGCCTGAATTGTTCGCCTCCCTATACTGCATGAAAAAGGCTTCGCTGACATTTTTCTCTTCGCCGCCATCCAGTCTGCTTCGAACACACATAGTTGACAGACCCCGACGTACTACATCGCCACGATGAAGTTCATGACCCTGTTGTTCGGCCTCTTGGGCCTGGTGACTATGGCCGCCGCTTGGAGCAAGGAAGGTTTGTACCGTTTCCTCCTCCTGTCCTCCCCCACTCTCCCTGCCATTGACCCCTGAAGCTGATCTTGTGCCCCCTCTCTTCCTGCAGATCGTGAAATCTTCCGCATCCGCGACGAGCTGCGCGCTCACATGGAAGACCCCGACCAGAGCTTCTACGACCTCCTCGGCATCAAGCCCTCGGCCTCGATCGAAGACATTAGCAAGGCCTTCCGCAAGATCACGCGCTCCCTTCACCCCGACAAGGTCGCGCAGAAGCTCAAGGCTGAGCGCATCGCCGCCAAGAAGGCCGGCACCTTCATCCCCGGCGTCAACATCAACAAGCCGCCGAGCCAGAAGGAGATCCGCGCCGCCGTCAAGGTCGCCGAGGAGCGTCAGTCGCGCCTCAGCCTCGTCCGCAACATCCTTAGCGGGCCTGAGCGCGACCGCTACGACCACTTCCTCCGCAACGGCTTCCCCGCCTGGAAGGGCACAAACTACTACTATGATCGCTACCGCCCCGGCCTCGGCACCGCCCTGTTCGGCGTCTTCTTCTTCGCCGGCGGTGCCATCCACTACCTCGCCCTCTACATGAACCACCGCCGCCATAAGGACTTTATCGAGCGCTACATCAAGTTCGCCCGCGACCAGGCCTGGGGTGACAACCTCGACGTCCCCGGCATCGACTACGCCTCACCCTCCCCACCCCCTGCCGACGACGACGAGCAGCAGCAGGCCACTCTCCCTGTCAACCGCCGCCAGCGCCGCTTCGAGGAGAAGGCCGCCCGCAAGGAGAAGGGCACCACAAAGGTCAAGCGCAGCGCTGGCAGCGGCACCGCCACGCCGCGCGAGACGCAGGGTGACCGCCCCGTCGGACCCCGCAAGCGCGTCATCGCCGAGAACGGCAAGGTCCTTGTCGTCGACCACAGCGGCAACGTGTACCTCGAGGAGCAGGACGAGGAGGGCAACCTCGAGCAGTTCCTTCTTGACGTGAGTTTCAGCCCCTGTCCTCACAGTTGCCCCCTTTTTCCAAATTGAAATCCAGAAAGAAAGAAAAGAAAACTAACGAGAGATGATAGCCCACCGAGCTCAAAGAACCCACCTTCTTCGACACGGCCGTCGTTCGCCTCCCCGTCTGGGCCTTCAACAGTACCGTCGGACGCGCGCTCGGCAAGAAGCCCGCCGCCGAGGACCTTGACCTCGTCGACGTCGACTCGGACAACGACCCCGTCCACGACACGCCCGGCACCGACTCGGCCGCCGAGGACTTTGAGCTGCTCGACAAGTCGACCGACTCGCTCGGCAAGGCCAAGTCATCGGGCGCCCAGGCCGGCGCCAAGGTCAACAGGCGGAAAAAGAGCAAGCGGTGAGCGGACACGCCGGTTGCCGTCCTAGACACATACTTGCGGTTCATGGCGCGCGTTGGGCTGTCTTTCGCCTGACGTCGGTAGTGAAGGAGTTTGACAGGTCGTCGATAATGCAGGTGAACAAAAAAGAGAAAGAGAAAAAGGAGTGAAGCAGAGGCAGAAACACCCATGACGAGACAAAACTAGGACGCGGCCGGCAGCGCCATCTGCAACATGATCAGGCCATCGCGGCCACGAAACAGCCAAACAGCGAAAGAAAAAAAAAATACATGTGCAAAGCTCTCTTGCAGGATTTTCGCCTGCCTCGACTCTTTCTTAGCAAGTGAACTGTGAATAAAGTGCCTAGTCCTCTTTGCCATTGTCGCACCAGGTCCCGTCTAACACGCCACTCACCCCCCAGCGAATTCCACGGCTAGGATGGGAGGGGCGCAACTGGAATGGCTCCCGTCGATCAAAGGGAACCCGTGGCAGGGCGCGTCAGACTGACGATAAAGGGGGGGAAAATGGTATACCATACCGAGAATCGCAGCAGGGCGCAGGGGGGTGTTGAGTTCTTATTCATATAATAGGGGAGAGTCGTATGCCGGTCCATTAGACCTGAGTGTCTGCTGATGATCTGGTTTCATTTTCAAGCACCGACTCTCTCCTTCCCAGAACGCAGATCGGGATCTCTCAAGAAGAACCGTGGTAAGACTTCCCTGCTCGAGAGAGTCTTAGTCGGCGCAAAGAGATTGCTCGCCATGGCCGTTAACCCGCCTCGTACCTGCTACGAGCCTTACGGATTCTGCCAGGTCTAGACACCATCTACCCTTTTCTCCCTGCACAGCCCAGGCTCTCAGCTCTACGGCAACACACAATTCGTCTAGCAACAATTCATCGCCACTGACGAGTGAAGCCAGCTGAGGGGAGGTGCTATTAAAAGTAAATGGAGTAATCCTGTTCTCCGTTCTGACTCGCCAAATCTCTGTGCTTGCCAACGCCCAAGTATGATTTTCATAGCCATTCTGACTGTCCTGATTCGTCTGCGCCTATTCCAGACCATGCCATTCATGAAACAAAAGAAAAGATACCGCCATGCCGCCGTTTGCCGGGCAAGTTCTGGACAGTGGTATACTATGTACATGCTCACGTCTCGTAGAGCTTCCTACCGCCGACCTCACATGACGTCCATGGCCTCGACGTTACCGACCGGCCCGCCAAACTGCTGCTGCTGGTACGAGCCGTACTGGTTCTCCATTTGCATCTGCAGTTGTTGCTCCTGCTGCAGCCGCGACCAGTCCTGGCCCGTGCTCTTGTAAACGGGATCGGTGGCCTGACTGTAACCACCGACCGACGAGCCGTAGGGCGAGTAGACATCCTTGGGCTTCGGAGCTTGACGCTCATTCTCTCGTCTCATGAGCTCCTCGTAGCCCGACATCATGTACGGCTCAACGTTCTGGCTGATGTTGGTGGCCAGCCAGCGGCCGTCGGAGCTCTGGGACTGGACCGCCGTGCCGTCGAGGCTCATGACAGCTGTCTGCCTCTCGGCCTCGATCATGCGTTCGTAGCGGAGTCGAGCCCAGAGCTCTTCCTGCTCGACCGTGGTGCTCGTCCAAGCGAGAGCGGGGTTGTCGTCGTTGCTAGTGGGCGGGGCAACGCGCCAGAGCTCGACCAGACGTTCCTTCTGGGGCATCTCGGAGATGCGGAACAGTTGGATCTGAGAGGGGGATAGAACTGCAGGGTTCACACCATGCTGGGCCAGGACAACCTCGGGGGTGAGCTGATCGGACTGAGGTGGCTCAGAAGAGCGCCGCTGTGGCTCTTGGACTTGCACCGGCTGTTGCTGAGGCTCGGCTGGTTCTTGGGGAACGTGATACGAGTGGATGTAGTGCTGAGAGATGGAGTAAACGATGGGCTCAGGGGTCGACTTGGAGGTCTCGATGGTGCGGTCCTGCGTAGCTTGCTGGGGCTCATCGACCATAGACTTGGGGACCATGGACTGGGCTTGAGCCTGGGCCTGAACCCGGGGCTGTAGTTCAGGGTTAAAGGTCAGGTTGCGGGAGAAGAGGGCTGACAAGTCGTCGTTGGCCTGCATGTTGGGCGGGAAAGAAACCATCTTCCAGAACTTGTTAGAATATCGTCCGGGCTCGATAGTCTCGGCTGTAGGAATACGTACCGTAAGCTGGAGGGTCGGTGTACAATTCTTGGGTTCGGCGTGCCGTGACAGGCGATGCTTCCTGAGGTGCGACAGGCTATGAGAGTCTGCCGAGCGTGATGTGATATGGCAAGCGACACGAGAGGGTGGGGCTAGTGTCGTGGTCGGAGACCGGCCAAGAAGCACAGAGCAGCAAACAAACTAGAGTTTATATTGGCTATGGTAGGTGTACTTGAGCTCGACAGGGCCAGGGTGAGTGTCTCGAAGTGGAAGCGGTGTTCGGGAGCGTGTGGCGGAACGAGAAGGAAACGGGTGTGCAAAGCGCTTTGATGGACGGACACAGCGAGAAAGCGACTTTTATGAGAAAGCGAGTCGAACAAGAAGGAGAATAGCAACAAGTCCAGTTTCCTTGGGAAGAAGATTGGAGATGAGGGAAACAAGGAGGCTTTGGGCGCAAGTATTTAGTTTGCCCGTCACAAGATCGGGTTGATGGTGGTCAGGTTGGGAGCGAAGAACGGGACCGGGGGTCAGACGAGGTGGGGATGCCGTGGAGGGATGGGATGCAGTCTGCGTCGTGTCGTGTCGTGTTGGGGGGGCAGTGTCGTATCAATTGTCGCCAGAGTCGTCGCCAGTATTGTCGCAGCAAATGGGAGGATGAAACAAGAAGAAGCAAGAAGGCCGACCTTAGACAAAGGGAGAGGGAAAAAAAGAAGAGAGAATCAGGCAGATGGCCAAGCAGGCCCCGAGGCTTAGATATATATTGGTCTCGAGGTTCATCAATGTGACGGAACGTGAGGCAACAGCGGGCCCCCTGTAGAGAGGAAATTGAGAAGGAGGGGCAGACTCATGACGCACCGAGCACCAGAGCACCATAGCACCAAAGCACTAGAAAGACCCAGCAATGGCGGCAAGAACGACGACGACACACCTACCTGAACCCAGGCCAGGGCAAGACCATTGGGCCGGGGGGGGTGTGTGGTGGGCTGGTTCCTGCCATTACGACCTAACGACACCATGGCTGCCACACCTTTGGCCGGGTTTGGTGGACGAGGGGGTTTGGGGCGCCTGGATCGGTAAATCATGGGAATTGCTCTTGAACAAGCAACCAGAGTGCGAGGGCAAGGCCACAGAAGAAGAAGAAGAAGGGGGGAAAAGAGAAGACAGGACAACTGTTAGATGGGAGGAGGCATGAATGGACACCTCCCTGTCGGTTTCCCTGTCTCTTGGAAGGTTCATGCGTTTGGTTCAAAACGAAGCATTATGTCCAATCGACCCGTGACACGATGATCACGGGTCTCCATCTGTGGTCCACGGGCGGCGAGCGGCGGGCCACATCTGCGCAAGGTACCTAGGTAGGGAATGGAAAGGGACAAACGCGGAAGGAGGAGGGGAACGGGAAGAGGGGTAGCAGATGGACATGGATGATGGAATATGTTTCAGAAGCGTGAGGGTATTTCTCGTCATTTGGCCTAGAGCTGCACATCTGCGGTGGTGGCCGGTGACGGTCGGGCTCAATAGTTTACCTAGCATCAGCGCCTTCATTCTTCACCGCCGTTCTTCTCGCTCGGCACGGTAGTTGACGTCTATTTGAGTGTCTAGAGGATGTCCAGGCAAAGGCAGAGCGACTGCAATCTAAATGAATGGAAATATCGCTGCCATTTGAGTACAAACACGGGCACCATGGGATCGTGGATCGTGTATCAAACAGTCAACCTCTAGCCTAGCCCCCTCCCCACGAGGCAGGCACACAATTCAAGATGCAGGCCGGCCGGGTAGAGAGTGGAGACCGAGGCACACCGACTCGGCTGTCAGGCGAACTACAATCGATGCCTCTCTAGGTGTGCAAGGGAAAGAAGGCGGCGGCTTGCAGAGGAGCAATGATGCCAAGATCTTGAATATTAGATAATCACTCTAAGGACAGCACGGCTGGGTGTCGTGGTCAGCGGGCACCAGCCGTCACCCACTGGCCAGCCAGCAAGCCAGCCTCGCGGTTCTGGGTGGAGCAACACGCATCCCCCAGGCTGCCTGCTGAGCTGAGCTGTGACGGGGATGGCCTACGACTGCACTCCAAAGGAAACGAAGCTCTCCAAAGCTCCCCCCATCACGACCAAAGACCCAACCAATCCACCTCACCACGACGAACCCTCCTTCATCGACCTCGACGAGCGACTCGACACTCCGAATTCGCCTCCTACCCATCTCTAGCAAACCAATCCCCCTACATCAGCCAAGATGGTACGTCCCGTTCTCCTGCCTCGTTCTCTCCACCACCAGCACCATATCTATCCATCATGAACCCTTGCCATGAGGATTGGGCCCCCGGCGACGACAACGACAACAACATTTGTATGCTGACGCCTCAACTTTTCTCTCTCTCTCTAGACCTCCATAGGCACAGGCTACGATCTCTCCAACTCTATCTTCTCCCCCGACGGCCGCAACTTCCAGGTCGAGTACGCCGTCAAGGCGGTCGAGAACGGCGGCACCTCGCTCGGCATCCGGGCCAACGGCGGCGTCGTCCTCGCCGTCGAAAAGGTCGTCACGTCGAAGCTCTGGAAGCCCAACGCCAACACGCGGATCGCCACCGTCGACCGTCACCTTGGCGTCGTCTACTCGGGCATGGTCCCCGACGGCCGCCACTTTGCCGACCGCGCCCGCGACGAGGCCCGCTCCTGGCGCGACACGTTCAAGACGCCCATCCCCGTCGCTGACCTCGCCAGCCGCATGGGCGGCTACCTGCAGGCCTACACCCTCTACTCCTCCGTGCGGCCCTTTGGCATCACCGCCATTGTCGCCGGCTTCGACCCCTCGACCCCGCTGCCCGTCGACGGCGAGGTCGGTTCCGGCCCCGCCGCCGGTCCCGGCGGTGTCAAGCCCAACCAGAAGCACGGCGGCCCCGGTCTCTACATGATTGAGCCCTCGGGCCTCTACTGGGGCTACTACGGCGCTGCCACCGGCAAGGGCCGCCAGGCCGCCAAGGCCGAGCTCGAGAAGCTCGACCTCGGCGGCGAGGGCATCTCCCTTGAGCAGGCCGTCAAGGAAGCCGCCCGCATCATCTACGTTGCCCACGACGACAACAAGGACAAGGAGTTTGAGCTCGAGATGAGCTGGATCAGCGACGTCGACGGCCCCACCAAGGGACGCCACGAGGCCGTCCCCAAGGCCCTGCTCGAGGAGGCCGAGCGGTTAGCGAAGAAGGCCCTCGAGGGCGACGATGACGACGAGGACGACAAGAAGGACGACGACAAGATGGAAGAGTAGAGCCCGTCGTGTTGCGCGTGTCAGAGGGAGGGAAACGGCCTGTATGTGTACGATTACCAAGGACAAGGGCAAAGCGGCGTCGGATCATGAGGATCATAGACTACGACTAGCTAAATCAAGCCGGAGTTGGGACATTTTCCTCTCGTTTCAGACCATCTGTGGAATTGACCTTCAAACAGTTGACGACTGGTGTTGGAAGGAGGGCTCGTTCGATAACATGCAGTGTCCTGGCTGCAAATAGGGTACCTTGGAAAGCATACCTCCGTCTAGTCTTCTCAGGGCCTGCAATTTTGAAATCCCACTATCGGCATGGCTCTCCTTCTGGACGTCTGGAGGGTTGTTGGGATGCCGATGGTGCGCGTGTGCAGTCAGATATCGTTTGACTGCGCATACAAAACAGAGCCTGACCACCGTGTCAGTACAGAGTACAATACGTCGACATGATGAACGGCTCATCTGTTACACGAACCAGTAAGATACCAGGCACAACACTATGCATGATGACAGGAATACACAGCGCACCGAAACAGCGTAGTAAATGTTAATAGCGTTTTTATAGGTATTCAGTAGTACTGCGCAGCAACCCAGACTGCGCACCAGGACATTGAAATTTCGTTATACCGTCCTCCCCCGTGCCCGCGCACAAACCACGCTGAAAATCAATTTAGAACCTTGCCCTCCGTCATAGCTCAAGAAACTCCAGTCTACGCCTTGACAATCTTGCAAACCAGGTCGGAACCATCGACAGAGTCGCCCTCCTTAACCTGCAGGCTGGAAACCTGGCCGTTGTGCGGCGCCGAGATGACCATTTCCTTAGAGTGGTTGTTAGCATTTGGTTCGGCATGTTGCTTAGAGAGAAGAAACTTACCATCTTCATGGCGCTGAGAACAGCAATGGGGTCACCCTTCTTGACATCCGAGCCCTCCTTGACGCGCAGCTCGACTAGCACACCAGCCATGGGCGCGCCAACCTGGCTCGAGTCGCTGAGGTCGGCCTTGGGTCGCGTGACGTTCTCAACTGAGGCCTTGTTGTCGTCGACGGTGACCTGGCGGACCTCACCGTTCATCTCGTAGAACACCTCACGCTGGCCAGTGTTCTCGCTGAGGGGGCCAACGGCGAGCAGCTTGAGGATAAGGACCTTGCCCTTCTCCAGCTCGACATGGAATTCCTCGCCAATCTCAGGCTTCGACAGGAAGTACTTGGTAGGCAGAACGGACAGGTCTCCGAACCTCTGGACAAACTTCTTGTAGTCTTCGAAGACCTTGGGATACATGACGTAGGATGCAATATCCGTCTCCGTGACGGGACCGCCAAACTTCTTACCCAGCTCGCGCTTGACCTTGACAAAGTCCACAGGCTCCAGGGACAGACCAGGACGAGCGTCAAGCTTTCGGCGACCACGCAGAGCATCGGAGCGGAGCGGCTCGGGGAAACCACCGAACGGCTGACCCATCATGCCTTCGAGGAATTCAAGCACGGAGCCAGGGAAATCGAGCTCGCCGGCGCGAGCCTTGACATCCTCGGGAGAGAGTTTGTTCGAGACCATGAACTGTGCAAGATCACCTACAACCTTGGAGGTGGGTGTGACCTTGACGATGTCGCCGAGAAGGTCGTTGGCGTGCTCATAGGCCTTCTTAGTCTCGGCCCACTGGGTGCCGAGGCCAAGCTGCTGGGCCTGGAACATCATGTTGGTGAGTTGACCACCGGGGATCTCGTGCTCGTACACCTCGGGATCGGGGCCAGCAAGGTGGGCCTCAAAGGGGGAGTACAGGAGACGAAGCTGAGACCAGTAGGTGTCAAGGGCGCGAACGTGGGCAGGGTTCAGGCCAGGGTCCAGGTCGCTACCCTCAAGGGAGGCGAGGATGGCGTTGATGCTAGGCTGCGAGGTCATGCCAGACAGACTGTCGGTGGCGGCATCGACAGCATCGGCACCAGCCTTGGCGCAAGCAACCATCGAGGCGACACCGGTACCGGCCGAGTCGTGGGTGTGGACGTGGATGGGAAGGTCAGGGTATTTCTCACGGATGGCACCGATAAGCAGAGTAGCCGCATGGGGCTTGAGAACTCCAGCCATATCCTTGATGCCGAGGACATGAATGTCAAGGGCAACGAGCTTGTCAACAAGATCAAGGTAGTACTGCAGGTTGTACTTCTTGTTGGGGTTCTAAATGAAGCGTAAGTTAGCACTGAACCAGTAGGATGAATATAGTGACACTGCGACAAGAGAATAGCGGAGCAGTAGTAAGAGAAAATCAAGAGACTGAAGATCAACGTTCAAGCTAGCCGCTTGACTCCGCCACCTCACTGAGGTGCTTCTTCGTTGCCAGGTGAGCTTTCAGCTCCTGCTGTGTTTTGAGGGTCTAGTCGCACATGCTGCAGTGATCAAGCCATGCAGCGAGGCTTTCACCGCGTCACTCCTTGCGGCGTGTTCTGACATCCCGACAAGGGTTTCGCAGTTTGCCCTCAGCAGCTTGGAGCAGAGAATTCGAAGGAAATCTTGAGGTGATGGGCAATGAGGCAAAACAATAAAAGACAGACACTCCGGGGTGTTGAACACAAGTCGGGAGATGGCTTGAGTGGTGATGGAGGTGGGGGAAAGAGGTGAGAGATGAACTGAGATGGGAGTGAAGGGGAGAATAAAAAAGGAAGTCCATAATCCCGGCACAGCAGCTTTGGAGTAGCTCCTGGAGGAAAGGAGACGTCTAGATCCCAAGGGTGGCCCAACACCGAGAAAGAAGAATGCAATAACGAAGAAATAACGGTACATACCAGCACTGTGGTGAGCAATGTTAGCACGTGTGATACAGCAGTCAAGCGGGAAGGGGTAACTCACTGTCTCCCGAGTAGCAAGCCACAGCTTCAACAACACCACCAGCCTTGTGGACGGCCTTGACACCAACCTCGATCTGGCTGACGTCGTTGAGAGCGTCGAAGACGCGGAAGATGTCAACACCGCACTTCTTGGCCTGGTCGACAAATTGCTCGATGGCATTGTCGGGAAGAGAAGAGTAGGCGACACCGTTGGCACCGCGCAGCAACATCTGGAAGGGGATGTTGGGCACGAGCTTCCTCATGCGGCGCAGCCTGTCCCAAGGGTCCTCGTAGAGGAAGCGCATGGCCACATCAAAGGTGGCACCACCCCAGCACTCAAGCGAGTAGAGGTTGGAGAGAGCATGGCTGGTCTCGTGGGCAATGTTCAGGAGATCGACAGTGCGGACGCGAGTGGCCAGCAGAGACTGGTGGGCATCACGCCAGGTAGTGTCCATGAGCAGGCAGCCCTTGTACTCGCGGACAGCCTTGGCAAAGGCCTTGGGGCCCTGGTCAAGAAGGATCTGCCTCCAGCCCTTGGTGGCGGGGGCAGAGGTGTCAAGCTTGGAACCATCGGGGTTGAGGAGAATAGGCTGGATAATGTCACCCTTGAACTTGGGTTCGCCAACCTGGCCCTTGATTCTGCTGCCGTTGACGGCAACGTCACCGAGGTAGCTCAGAAGTTTCTGAGCACGGTTCTGGCTGCCGACAAGGTCGAAGAGCTGAGGAGTGTCATCAATGAAGGTAGTCCAGCAGTTGCCGTCAATGAAGGTGGGGTGAGTGAGGAGAGAGGCCAGGAAGGGAATATTGGTCTTGACGCCACGGATGCGGAACTCGACCAGGGCACGCAGCATCTTCCTGCGCGCAATCTCGTATGTGGAACCTTGGCAAGTGCACTTGACCAACATGGAGTCGTAGTAGGGAGTGATGACGGCGCCGGCAAAACCGTTGCCACCATCGAGTCGGACACCGTTGCCACCGGCAGAGCGGTACACCTCGAGCTTGCCAGTATCGGGCTGGAATCCCTTGGCTGGGTCCTCGGTGGTGATACGGCACTGAATGGCAAAGCCGCGGGTGGAGATGCGGTCCTGGGTAAGACCGAGCTGCTCCAGGGTGGCGCCGGCAGCGATCTGGATCTGAGCGGCAACAATGTCGATGCCAGTGATCTCCTCGGTGATGGTGTGCTCAACCTGAATACGGGGGTTGATCTCGATGAAGTAGTAGCGGTTCTGCTGGTCGACAAGGAACTCAGCGGTACCGGCGTTGCGGTAGTTGACCGACTTGGCCAGCTTGACGGCATCAGCCAGGATGGCGTCGCGGGTCTCAACGGGGAGGTCCTTGGCGGGAGCGATCTCGACGACCTTCTGGTGACGGCGCTGGACCGAGCAATCACGCTCGTACAGGTGGACAATGTTGCCGTGGTTGTCACCGAGCAGCTGAACCTCAATGTGCTTGGGCTTGTCGAGGAAGCGCTCGACAAAGACGGTTCCGTTGCCGAAAGCGGACTTGGCCTCCGAGGTAGCTCGCTCGAAAGACTCCTTCAGGCTCTCCTGCTCGCGAACGACACGCATACCACGACCACCACCGCCGTAGGCGGCCTTGATGATGATGGGGAAGCCATATTGATCGGTGAAGGTCTTGACCTCCTCGAAGGTTGCAACGGCACCCTCGGTACCAGGAACGACGGGGACGTCGGCAGCGATGGCGAGCTTGCGAGCAGACACCTTGTCACCGAGCGAATCGATGACATCGGGAGAGGGCCCAACGAACTGTGTGAGTGAACAGGTTAGCTTCGGCGGGTCCCACAGGCTTGGGTGGAGGTTGGTGTACGTACGATAAGACCAGCTTTCTCGACATTGCGAGCGAACCCGGCGTTCTCGGAGAGGAAACCGTAGCCTGCGCAGCGGGTCAGAGCGAATTGCAAAGAGTTTGAAAGTGGGCAGACAAACCAGGGTGGATCATTTGCGCGCCGTGCTCAACCGCGATCTTGATGATCTCGTCGCCGGCGAGGTAGGCTCCGACGGGGGTGTACTGGCCGCGCTTGCCAATGACGTACGCCTCGTCGGCCTCTGTGAGCACTCGTTAGTCGCGGTGAAATCAGAGGGGATTTCGGGGCCTCAGAGGGGTGATTACTTTGCCTGTGCATGCTGAGACGGTCCTCATAACTGAAGACAGCAATGGTGTGCAGTGAAAGCTCATGAGCCTATACATGATGAGCAAATGTCTGAGACGATCCGCAGATGTTGACTTACGGTTCTAAAGATCTGAAAGAGAACTTTGTGTAAGCAGGTCCGTTCGTGCAATGCGTGATTACCTCTGATCAGTAGATCGACGTACCCTGATAGCTGTTCACAGTTAGTGCCTGTGGCGCGGGGGAGGGGCAGATCAAGTCAGGGCAAAGACTTACGAATTTCACCACGGTTGGCCACTGTCGGACGGCGAAAAGGCCACAAGTCAGCAAAGCATTCTTCATGGGTATGGGGGTGGTTTTTGAGGGGGGTGACTCACCAAGAATCTTCTTCAATTGCATAATGCTCGAGTTGGCGCGAATGTGGTGGATGCTCTGACCCTTGGGGGCGTCGCCATCGCTGTCGTCAAAGACATCGCTAAATGTCACGGCGGTCTGCGCCATTTCGAGGGCTGTGAGGGGTGGAATAGATGAAATTCCGGGTTCGCAAATGCGAGAAGGTTGGAGCGAAGAGGTCGGAGGGGGGAGAGGAGGGTCTGAGGCGGGCGAGGAGCGTGGTTTTGAAGACCAGGAAAAGAGAGCTCGCTACTTTCTGCTGGCGGCGACGGTCGAGAGAGGGACGGCCGGAGAATGTGAGATCGACCTCGGCGGGGTCACACCGTCACAAGTGATGCAGGGGAGCAGGGGGGGGGGGAGGTCTGGGCTGGACTGGGTGCCGGGGCCTTCTTGCAGGGGGGATCGGTGGTCGATGGTGGGGGTTGGATGCCCGCCTTGCTGGAAACAGAGAGCTAGACGCGGACCTGGAGCTTGCTGGTGCACCGAAGACCTAGGTCGAACCGGTGGTGGTGGTGGCGGGCGGTGGAGACGCGCTGTCAAGTCGCCGATAAGAGATCCAGGCGTGTAGCTCGGCCCGAGTTACCACGGCGTAGAGACAGTGTCGATGGAAAGCAACGGAGGCGACACGCCGTCGAGTCGTGATCAAAGATCGTATACGATTTCGAAAGATGAAAGAATAGAGCTGCTTCTTATCGATGCCAATAGAAAGGATGAGGAGTGATTAGTATGCGTCAAGGGCAGCAGCGCTGACGAGGAGCAAAACGTCAAAGTGGTGGGTGTGGACGACGCGGGGTGGAGGGGTGTAGATTTTGGAGGAGAGTTGATGGGAGTCGAAAAGGAAGAAAATCAGCAAGAGAACGAGGAATGAGGGGTTCTCTTGTACGATCCTGAGAAGCCCGAGCCCGTTGCGTGTAGGTAGGTACCTAGGTAGGCACCAGGAGAAGAAAGCACGACTTTCGTTCGTTCCGAGGTACTTCTCCTCTGGTCCAGTTGACGCCCCCTTCCCAAGCCAGTGCAGTGAGAGCGCAACGTTGGGATGGATGTTCTTTCCCAGGGCACCTCGCCGACACCGTAACTTGAACCGTATCACCATGTACTAGAGTACCTATCTTTGGGTTGGCTGGCGGTGGAGTGGAGGGGCCTGCGGACGGGCAGGACATGTCGACACGCACCTGCAACGTGAACCAGCCCGCCCCCTCCCTGTCCATCGATTGATCTTCACCTCATCTCAACTCGAACTGGAGAGGCCAGGGGAGATACCGCCCGGCCGTGCATGCACTTGCAGCTGTCACTGGAAACAGTTCGTCGACGGTGATTGTGCCTCAGCAAGGCCCAGGGGGCCTGCTGGCACCGCCCGGCCCAGTGTTAGTGCTGGTGCTGGTGCTGGTGTTGGGATGGCGTCCGTGTCCAAGCTCAAGCTCCCTGGTGTGAAGCGACAGCTCGATGGCAAGAAAGAAAGTTGTCCCGCCATCAAGTCCAAGCCACGGTCCATCTCCACGCAAACACCCACCAACCACCCCATCTGCTGACCGCCGCCGTCTCTATTTTTTTCTTCTCTACGCCCTCCTACAGTTCTGCTCATAGCGACGAGAGCGCGAGTCAATTAACGCATTCCCTCTGCTCTCAGAGCTTCTTGGCAAAGATCTGAGCCTCGCCCAGACTCTAAGGTCTCGGGCTTATGCTGCTGCTGCTGCTGGTGATGATGAGACAAGACACATGCCGCCAGCACATGGAACAAATGAGACTGCCCCGCGCCGGCCATTGGCCAACCACAGTGCACCGATCACGAAGCTCACCACTCTATTGCTGGCCCCATTGACAAACAGCTTTTGGCTCTTGAAAGATTGTTGAGTTAATCAGCACAAAAGGCTGAGCACAACATGACAATCAAGTTGGTTGCACGACCTAAACGGGAACGACGTATGGAAACGGTTACCTAGCGCAAACGGAGTTTGGCACGACGCAGCTCTCCTCCATCGAAAAGGGTACTTACTGCCACATCGTGAGGGTGAGTGAGGTCAGGCAAATGTCGGCACATGCAAACTAGTACTGTAATCACAACGAACCCCGGACGAGATCGTACATCCAGATCGCGGGATCCAAGAGAACACCCCAAGCAAACAATCCCTCGGTACCGAGGATAAGACGGCTTTACCTGTCGCGTGCTTGCGTGCTCTCCCGCCTTCCCGGGGTCGGGTCTGGGGAAAGCATCCATTCAGAGGCTCATGAGCAGCGAACAGGTCGAAGACGACTACTCGGGAGAACTCGACGCGATGGTCCTGTTCCTGACTATTTTCGCCCTGCGGCCTGCTGAAATGCGGGGTGTGGGCTGCTCTCCCACGCTGCAAGCCTGTCGGTCGTCAAGCCGATGCTTGCTCTTCCGTGTTGCTCCGATGTGCTTCTCGTCCGCCCGGTGCCAGGCCCTGTCAACACGGGAGATGCCTCCAGTTTTCCGTGTTGGACCGAGAATTAGATGCCTTTTTCGGCGGAGGATGAAGCCGGCCGGGACATACATCATGGTTCAATGTTGTCAACCTCCATCGCCATCGCCAGTCCCGGGCGGGAGGTGATTCACATGACAGAAGAGGGTCCACAACCGTTTCTTACCGCCGTTTTCTCTACTGCCCTTTCTTGTGTCCGTCGCAGCCTCCCACTTCGTCGATAAGGTACGTATCTTCTGAGACGCTGCGCTGTTTTTGTCCATCGGACTTTTGATTTCTGATTGTTCATTGTTGTTGCTAAACCCCTCTCTCATCACCCGTCGCGTCGAAACCGGAGCCCGCCAACCCTCCACGAAGGGCCTTCGTCAGATGGCTCAGGGTGCGGGATAGTCCACCGTCCTCCCACGCCCGTCCCTGTCACCGCACGTCGATTGGCTCGACCCCCAGGTCATCGTCTCGTTAGTCAGGTTGAGGAGCACACCGTTACGTCGCTGTAATTCTTCCGCCGCCGACCTCGGCAGGGCTGTGACGACGCCATAGCCGCTTGTCCGCTGCAGATACTTGAATGAGAGATGACTTTCTTTTACCACTACCCCCCAATGGTCTCCGAAGCCAGGGTGGGGACGCTGGGCTAATTCGGTCATGTTACACGAGTGTTTTATTCCCGTGAGTATGACTCCTGGCTGTGCGGATATCCAAGGTTAGAACAGGCATTTGCAACCCGTCCGTCATCCGTGTGTGAGTCGACAACACCCCCAAGATGGTTCGTGGCTTTTTCGAGCAAACGCGCCAAGCCGTACCGCCCTTTCGTCCACTTCGGTGGGGGGTTACCGAAGGGCCCCTGAGATGGCCCCCCTTGGTTTCGGTGTGATTATGTGGCGACGTCTATCTTTGGGTAGCGCGGTGGATAAAGGTTGCTATTTGGCTCGTGACAGTGAAACGAAGCATGTCTTCGGGCCTTGCCCCCGAAGTCTCGTTTCCAAGTGCCAATGGCCCGAAATAGCGAGCCGAGATTTTGCCCGCTCGATGAGCTTGCGAGATTCGCCGTTTCGTTTCGTGCAACGAAGACAGGTGGGGGTTGGCACGGTCGGTGACTGTCTGATATTCATCCTTGCTCTGGGCCACAGCTTGACCTGCGGCAGCTTTTAGGCCGCTCGCTCCATCCTAATCTCAGATCGGCAGTCCAAGCCACCGCCATGTCCAGATGGGTTCGATTTCCCCCAAAGCAAAATCCCGACGAGACCAACAAAGTGTTGTTAATGACCACGTCCTCGATGATGAATGATGGGCACGCCTCATTCTACATTGTATGTCATGCCAGGCAGACAGGATTTCTACGAGCAGAGGTGATGTCAGAGGTGATAATACATGATGGCACTCTCTCTTCCCCATGCTGTCCAAGAGCCCTTTCTGCGATCCTCCGGCTCGATCTCTCATTTGTCCATCTTAGACCTCTCTCTTGTGCCCCATATATCGGGGCTGCAGCGCGTCTGCAAGCCCATCTACCGCAAGCCATTTCGTGGCTGGTCTCTCTGTCCCTCTCCCCCACACCCCACGCGGATCGATCATATCTGGACCCCCGTATGAGGTAGACCGCAGTAGCCGCATCTGTTCAGTACGCTTGTCTTTCGTTCGTGACAAGGAGGCAAAAGGGGGTATATATCTATTTGCCCAGGGCCTCCTTGACCTTGCCCTCGACCTTGGCCTCGACAGCCACGGCCTTGTCCTTGATCGCCTCGACCGTCTCCTTGACGTTACCTCCCGCGGCAGCGGCAGCTTCCTTGCCTCCCCACTTGTGCCAGGACAGGTATCGGTAGCCCTGCGTCAGCTGCGAGCACTCGTTGACAAAGTGGCACGCGAACAGGAGGTAGTTCTTTGGTGAGACGGCGAGCGAGTAGCGCATGAAGGTGGCGGAGTAGATGACAAGAGCGCCCGTCATCTGGCCCGAGATCCTGTACAAGGTATCCGTTCAGTAGAGATTCGCAGTCGTAGACACGATTTGGAGGCGATCCGGGTAGGGGGGACTCACAGGTCGGGGGACTTTTGGGTGTCGAGCACGGCGGCCACGGGGATACCGAAGTTGGAGGCAGGACCCCAGAAATCTAGACACAGCCATCAGTGCTTGCTCTTCTGGTATGCGTCTTCTTCAGAAAGCTCGTCGAATTTGCAACTTAAAGGCGCGATCGGAGCCGCACGAGGATCCTCCGGATATGCCAGCCATTGGAAGGGGCACCTCAACAGCGACAGCAGCAGCAGGAGCACCAGCGATGGATTGATCGCACTCAATCCTGTGGCAATCGAATCTCCTGTCCTCATCCTTCACCCCGCGATGCGAAGTACACCGACTCAAGAAAATGTCCCAACGTACGCGTAGAGCAGAAGTAGTTCAGTGCCGGGTTCGCCCGAATCTTGGCATTGACAGCCTTGATGAAAGCAGCCATTGTGATCGTTTGGTCGGAAGGAGAGGCAAGTCGTTCAGGTCGGTCGTGATGATGACGAGGTCGGCGCGGACGACCTGGGGACTTGGGTTGGGAGATTGAGGTTGGAGGTGGACGTTCTGCTTGTTGGGGAGCTTGACTTTCCGAGTCGGAGCTTGGATCGGAACCGCTGCGCTGCAATTCGTGGAGGTGCGTGCGTTGAGTTTTTGCGGTTCAACGGAGATAGCGTCCATCCGGGGATAAGACGGACGTCACGTGCCTCTTGCTGAAGGCAGTGTCAGAGGATGGCCTCATACTGCAGTTTGTTGCGCCTCCTGGACTCAATGACCGTATATAGTATCTCTTGAAGCTATGAGTTGTTTTTATTTTATATTGCAAGAATGATCTGGGTGGTTGTGGGGTTTTTAATTCGCAATGTGTGTTCACCGAAGCCATGAAAGTGAGCGTCAACAAAGTGACGGCACTGCTTACACGAGCGAAACCCAAAGATGCACAACTTGATTGAGACAATACTCAGTAACTTTCCAAATAGATAACAATATACAAAAACAACGTATTTTTGGTTCTTCTCGGGATTCCTTTGAATCATTGCTCGCGTAAGTTAATACGAATACGAGATGCTCATAGCATGGACGTTCACTAAGTGATTTTCGAAAGCAACCAAGGGTTTAAACTCTGTCCGATAACGTACTAATCAGCAGTCCCAAGCCAAAGTCTACGTAACCCAATGGCGGCTCAAAAAAGGCCAGCATGTCTAAGCTACAAACACCTCAACATGCAGCAGAGCTTCAGACACACACTCATGAAACTATGCCACTCAGGTGAGACCACTGCCTAGTAGGCGGCAAGGAGCGAAGGCCACGCAAGCCTCAGGACCAGGATAAGTTGAGAGACTATCATATGCAAAAGCCTTTACTCAGTCTGTTACCAAGCTTTTAGTCATTTCCTGGTGTACAGAAAAGGCGGCAACGACGAAGCACATTCGATGGGTCCTAACGCAGCAACGCCCAATATGTTACCCTACATCATGTCATACATCACTCCAGCCCATCACCGCGAAAAGGACTCCGCCCAAAGCTCAATGACCATAATCACGCGCAAATTTCAGTCAGTGTTGGTGCGGAAATCATGTTCATTTACCCAACCTTCCAAGGTCGAGCCGCTCCTCTACAGATTCGCGTTTTTGTCCATCCGTCATGGTATTCTTCAATATCCCCAAACGCCAATGGTCATCATAAATCTGACGCGAGCGCACAAACGCCCGACCCTCCCTGTCAGCGACACTCACGTATTACCTCCGAGGCGGTGGGTTGAAGCCAGGAGGACCGCCGCCAGGAGGACCGGGAGGGAAGCCTTGGGGAGGGAATCCGCCACCCTGAGGAGGGAAGCCGGGGGGGAATCCGCCAGGGAAACCCGGGGGAGGGGCTGAGTAGCTGTGAGCGGGATGAGGGCGAGCCATGTAGAATGAACAGGACTTACCTCCACGCCCGGCAAAAGGGGGAGCACCGCCAGGGAATCCGGGGAAACTAGGGGGAGGCGCGCCACCACCAACACCAGCAGCAGGTCCCTGTGAAGAAGGTTAGCGATTGTAGTAGAAGTGAATGATGCCAAAACTTACTGCCAATGACGGCGGCACAGCAGCCCCGCGACCAGCAGGGCGGGCAACACCAGGGCCAGCACTGAGAGTCGATGCGATACCGCCGGTTGCGCTCCTGCCCAGGCGAGCGCTAGGGTCCGCAGGAGGCTCCGACTCGACTGACAGCGAGACGATCTGAGCGCCGCGGACGATCGTAAGGCCCAAGGTCCTCTTCTCCTCCGACTCGACAGTCTGGCCAGAGCCGCTCGCGCCAGGCGCGGAGGGCTTGTTCTGCTTGCGCTTGACGCGTCGGAACTCTTCCGTGTCGGCGAGGACGAGGTTCATGTGCTGTAATGTCATCAGCGGGAGTCACGGGGGAAGCGGTGGAGGACAGGGTTGCGAACCTTGTCAAACGCAAGCATTTGACCGGTCATCTGGCGACCGTCGTTCAGAGTGACTCTCATCCGGTAGTTGATCTAGCATGGCGTCAGTAGGTGTCGATCGCGACTTCGAAAGGATGCTCATGGAGCCTTGCACCGTCGGGGGGTACGTACGTAGCCGGCCTAAAGATAGATCGCGTCAAGTCAGCCTACATTGTCAACCTCGAGCTTCAAAGGAAGTCGGTGGGGGAAGGCCACTCACCATCTTCCCCTGTTTGTTCGCCATGGTTGCGGTTGGGAAGCGAGATGCCGCGAGTGCAGCTTCTCAAGAGGTTCAAAAAATGGTCCTTTGCGTGCAGATGTCGGGTGACGTCTGCGACCTTCAAGTACTTTGCTTTCGCGGAGCTCGTTGGAGGTCAAGGGTGGGTGGATATGGCTTCCAATGAGAGTTGGGAAATTTTCCTCGGGAGGCTGAAGGCAGACAGAAGGCTGAAGCTCTGACAGGCTGCTGGCGGGGGAAAGGTAAGCTCGAAGTGCTGACAGCCGGCAGTAGTGAGTTCCAGCTGGCGTACTAGTCCAGTTTTAGCCCCTCTGCAGTGGGGTCGTCGCCCACCCTGGGCGCAAGGGCTTTGGGGCTGCAAAACCCTCTTGAATTTCGAACGACTCTCAAGTTCCAGAACTTTTTGCCAGCAACTTCACGCCCAGCGACCAGCGCCCACGACAAGTCCGACCATCAACCACCGTCGACCAACCTAACCGTCAAAATGTCCGAGAAGGCCGCCAACCCCATGAGGGAGCTTCACCTCCAGAAGCTCGTCCTCAACATTTCCGTCGGAGAGTCTGGTGACAGGCTCACCCGTGCCGCCAAGGTGCTTGAGCAGCTCTCTGGTCAAACCCCCGTCTACAGTAAGGCATCCACGACGAGAGCAACTCTCTGCGCATGAACCTGACGACAATCAATAGGCAAGGCTCGCTACACCGTCCGCACTTTCGGTATCCGTCGTAACGAAAAGATTGCTGTCCACGTTACCGTCCGTGGCCCCAAGGTATGCCTTTCTTCCAACCGTCGCACATTCGTCCACACAATTGTCGCTAACCGATATATCTACAGGCTGAGGAGATTCTCGAGCGTGGCCTCAAGGTCAAGGAGTACGAGCTTCGTAAGCGCAACTTCTCCGAGACCGGCAACTTTGGGTTCGGTATCTCCGAGCACATCGATCTTGGCATCAAGTACGACCCCTCCATCGGTATCTATGGCATGGACTTCTACGCCTGCATGACCCGTAAGGGTGAGCGCGTCGCCACCCGCAGGCGCTGCAAGGCCAAGATCGGCTCCAACCACAAGATCAAGCGTGAAGAGACCGTCAGGTGGTTCAAGCAGCGCTTCGATGGCATTGTCCGGTAAATGCGCAAATGGACAACGTCACTTTTCTTGGGATGGTTTAACGGATTCTGGGTCACGGGCGAAACGGAAAAGGGCTTACCGGCGTGTATTTCCCGCTGCTTGCAGCAATTTCATCAAGCTTGATTTACGAGTAATCGTCACAAGCTACGGCCTCAGAGACCGACCGGCATAATGCCGGCTTCCACCCTGCTTGCAGTCCCAGTGCGTAGAGTGATGTGAGATGCGAATTGGCGAAATTCAAGCCCGCAAGTGGCTTGTCGACTGTGCTGGATAGATTCTGGTTCCTGCCACTTTGTAACGGGTTCTCTGCAGACCTGCATCACGTTTGGGAAGCATTCACCACCTTGACATGAGGGCATCATCAGCGAATGGCCATGTGCGTGTATCCTTCGATGCGCGAAGTGGCTTCACTGGTGTTGTGGCGTCGTCAATTGAAGCACATCATCGACTTCATTGTGATATGGCATAGGCCGTTCGTACACGCATTGTGTGTGTGGGTTGACAATGTGGAGGCATCGCGCTGCCTCAGCGTCTATCCATCGGACTCTGGACCACCTATGTTTAAGTTCTACGGACAAGGCATGTATGACATGGCGACAGCGTACTATGGAGGTTACTTTCAAGATACTATTGCATCTATTTCTGCGCTGTTCATTCACCAATATCTTGTCATGTGTCCAGGCGCTTAATCCTAAGTTTGATTAATATAAATCGTCAGCAGGATGTTCAAACCGTGACGTTAAAGCATGAGTAGTTTTTCAATAAACAATTTTGTTTTTTTGAGGTTTTACACATGAACCAAAACATGATCGTGTCTAGTTGAACATGTACAGCTCGCATAATATACAAGCGTCAGACCTTTCACCATGCGCATGTTCATATCCGTGATGGCGATGAACCTATTTGAGGTAAATCTCCCAGAACCCTTGGCCGAGCCAAACACGACTGAGGACCCACGATGTCCTAGTCGAAAGCTCGAGCCGTCGTCAAGAGAGCCGTGATGAGACGAGCCTGGGAAGTCAGGCAGGTTGAGGGCAACCTAAGGGGTTTCAGGCCAATCAATGGTCCAGACTGAGTGCTCGGGGCTGAGCATAATCCGATCCGGTGCCCGAGGTCGGGCGTTCGGTCGGGCAGGCAACGAGCGGCCTCAAGCAGTGGGAAGGGCATCGCTGCTTTGGCCTGGCGATGCACGATGGAAAAAGACATTGAAGCAATGCAATAAAGAGAATAAAAAAAAGTCCGAGGCATCACGACCTCCAACGATCAGAGTTTAGGCCATAACGTCGCTGAGGGACAAGGCTGGCTAGGTAGGTGATCAGGCTTCCAAGGCACCCATCGGGAAGGGCAGGGCCACGCTTAAATGAGAATTGTTAGGGAGTTTCCGGGCTGACTGAGGTAAAACTTCGCGGATACCTCCTGATTGGCCGGTTCGGCCAGCTCCCACTCCACTCGATCCTTTCCTGCTCCATCTCCCTCTCACCTTTTCCCTCTGCCGGGTCTTCCTCCAAAAAAGACTCCATTTGCACTCCTGCAAAGGCACCATCAACACCCCCAATCTCCCCTCAAACTCAATTGCACCCGTTGCAATTGATTCTCCCTCGATCTAGACAGCGTCGACGATCCTCCTAATATGTTCCGCAACGCCCTCCGCCAGTCGACGCGCGCCGTCGGTGCGGTCTCTGCCGCCGGCAGAGTCGGTGCCGTAAGTCGTCCTCCCCTTAGCCCGAAAACCATCTCCAATCCATCGAAAAACAAGGTCGGCCGTTTCGAAAGTCATCCACGAGTTCTTTGCAAGCTCAATTGGGGTCTTGAAGCCGGTCGCGGCGTCGTGGGCAAGCTTTTCACGAGCTCCCTTCACGCTGTGTTGTTCTTGTCGTTGGGGGGATACCATAGCATTTTCGGGGCTTCGGCTAACTTGATTTTCAACCGCCCAGATTCGAAATGCCGCACCCGCCATCAACGCCGCGATCCAGGTCCGAACCTACGCTGAGGCCAAGGCCTCACCGACCGAGGTCTCTTCGATTCTCGAGCAGCGCATCCGTGGTGTCCAGGAGGAGTCCAACCTCGCCGAGACTGGCCGTGTCCTTTCCGTTGGGTAGGTCTGGCCCGAGCATCAATCAGCAAAGGGGAGTAGGAGGACTTCCTAGTGTCTACGGCACTCTGGAACCTCCAGAAACTCTTTGCGACGAAGTGCGTCGTCGAATTGTTTCGCTGACGAATTTTTCTCGCATAGTGATGGTATCGCCCGTGTGCACGGTATGGCCAACGTCCAGGCTGAGGAGCTTGTCGAGTACGTTCATGCATTTCAGAATCAATTCCGCACCGCCATCTAATCCGTTTCTAGGTTCGCCTCTGGCGTCAAGGGCATGTGCATGAACCTCGAGGCTGGCCAGGTCGGTGTCGTGCTTTTCGGTTCCGACCGTCTCGTCAAGGAGGGTGAGACTGTCAAGCGTACCGGCGAGATTGTAAGCATCAATCATTTCATTCAACCGAAAAACAAGTGCTAATACATACTAGGTCGAGGTCCCTGTCGGCCCCGAGCTGCTCGGCCGTGTCATCGACGCTCTCGGCAACCCCATCGATGGCAAGGGTCCCCTCAACAACAGCGAGAAGCGCCGTGCCCAGCTCAAGGCCCCCGGCATTCTGCCTCGCCAGTCCGTCAACCAGCCTGTGCAGACTGGTCTGAAGTCCATCGACGCCATGGTTCCCATTGGCCGTGGCCAGCGTGAGCTGATTATCGGTGATCGTCAGACCGGTAAGACTGCTGTCGCCCTGGACGCTATGCTCAACCAGAAGCGTTGGAACAACTCCAACGACGAGGAGAAGAAGCTCTACTGCGTCTACGTCGCTGTCGGCCAGAAGCGTTCTACTGTTTCTCAGCTCGTCAAGACCCTCGAGGAGAACGACGCTATGAAGTACTCCATCGTCGTTGCCGCCACCGCCTCCGAGGCCGCCCCTCTCCAGTACATCGCCCCCTTCACCGGTGGTAAGTTTTCAACCATGCTTGTACATTGAACAACAGCTAAACTTGCTATAGCGGCGGTCGCCGAGTGGTTCCGTGATAACGGAAAGCACTCTCTCGTCATCTACGACGATCTCTCGAAGCAGGCCGTCGCTTATCGCCAGATGTCTCTTCTTCTCCGTCGTCCCCCCGGACGTGAGGCCTACCCCGGTGACGTCTTCTACCTCCACTCTCGTCTTCTCGAGCGTGCCGCCAAGATGAACAAGAAGCTCGGCGGTGGCTCCATGACTGCTCTGCCCATCATTGAGACCCAGGGTGGTGACGTCTCGGCCTACATTCCCACCAACGTCATTTCCATCACTGACGGCCAGATCTTCCTCGAGTCTGAGCTGTTCTACAAGGGTATCCGTCCCGCCATCAACGTCGGTCTTTCCGTCTCGCGTGTCGGTTCCGCTGCCCAGCTCAAGGCCATGAAGCAAGTCGCTGGCTCGCTCAAGCTCTTCCTGGCCCAGTACCGTGAGGTCGCCGCCTTTGCCCGTTTCGGTTCCGACTCGGATGCCGCCACCAAGCAGACCCTTGCCCGTGGTGAGCGTGTAAGTTATTGTTCTGTCCCTGTGTGAACAGAAATCTGTGCTAATCCCGCCGCAGTTGACCGAGCTCCTCAAGCAGAAGCAGTACTCTCCTCTTGGCGTCAACGAGATGGTCCCCATCATCTACGCTGGTGTCAACGGCCACATTGACAACGTCCCCGTCGACAAGATTCTGCAGTGGGAGTCTGACTTCCTCAACCACCTCAAGACCAACGAGGCCGACCTCCTGGCGACCATCGACAAGGAGGGCGCCCTCAGCAAGGACCTCGAGGCCAGGCTCAAGGATGTCACCCAGACGTTCGTCAAGAGCTTCCTCGGTTAAGCGGCCACTCGTGGTGTAATAAACGGTCCGACATGGTGCACGGGGGAAGAAGCTGTCTATACCGAAGTGATTTCTGTTTTTCCGTAGAAGCGGGAGGACGACTCGAAGGGTGCACCGGGCTGGGAGAAGCACCTGGGGAAGCGATCTGGGGCGCGATTCTCCAGTCGAACCACTGTAAAATAGAGCTCAAGACTCAATTAACGCCCTCGATTCCTTTTGTCCTTGAACAGCTGATCTCTGTTCCGTCTGTAGCCCGTTTTAGTATTGGAGCCGTATTTTTCTGTCATAATCGCCTGTCGGGCCTTTGGCTCCGGCGGGCCTTTGCATCGTCGTGACATCATTGCTTTCCACCCGAGCTGCGCTTGCCTTCTTTAAACCGTTCCTTCTATATTGCCTTCATTTGATGAAATCCGTACTTCATCGATCTTGCTGATGACAGTGCAACTGCCTGATTTGAACACCAGGGCACCGCTTTATCCGAGGTTGCTTCATCCACCCACCATCCATTTCCTTTCCCCGCCTCCATCACCCACCCATCCAAAACATTGGACTTGAGTTGCCCGCAGACACGACAGATATGTCTGCCACCACAAAGGAAACCCTCGCTCGCGTGCAGCGCATGATTCCACCGATGCTGGATCACTTCCACAAGGGTATGCTTTGCCTCTTTCGCAAAACCAATCTCATCGGCACTGACGATGGACATGGACAGGACAGCTCGGCCGCATCGGCGTCCTGGGAGGCAGCGAAGACTATACTGGCGCGCCGTATTTCTCGGCCATGGCCAGCGCACGATTAGGATGTGATATGGTGCCTTCCTCTTTCTTGCCAACTGGCTCTACATCTCGATCACTTGTCGGCTAATCCCTCGGCAGTCTCACGTCATTTGCACACCGGCTGCCGCCGCCGTCATCAAGACCTACTCGCCTAACCTCATGGTTCATCCCTTGATGCGCCAGTCGCCCGCCTCATCCGCAGACACGCGCTCCTCGACTGACACCAGTAAGAAGAACGCCGAGACAGACCCGGAACGGATTGCTTTAAGCGTGGCCGATATGTTGCCTCGACTCCACGTGCTCGTCATCGGACCGGGTCTCGGCCGCGATCCGCTGATGCAGGCAACAGTGGCACGAGTCGTACGTGCCGCGCGCGAGCGGGACCTTCCCATCATCCTGGATGCTGACGCGCTTCTGGTGGTGCAAAAGGATCCTAGCCTCGTGCGTGGTTATGGGAAGGCAGTGCTGACGCCCAACGTAGTCGAGTTCTCACGGCTGTGTAAAGCACTCGGTGTCGATGAGGACAAAGTCACATCTGAAGGCGGCGAGACTGGCAAGGTGGAGGCTCTGGCCCGGGAACTTGATGGCGTGACCATCATCCAGAAGGGAGGCAACGATTATATCTCGAACGGCAAGACAACGCTCGTCGTTGATCTCCAAGGTGGTAAGAAGCGCAGTGGCGGACAAGGCGATACATTAACAGGGGCTATCGCTACGTTTCTGGGGTGGAGGCACGCATATCTTGAAGGCCTTTGGGATCGAGGCGATGCTACGCTGGCTGAGGACGAGCTGGTCGGACTTGCAGCATTTGGAGGAAGTGCAATCACCAGAGTACGTGCCGCTTGCACTTGAAGCCCGAGCACGGAAAAGAGTGTCAAACTGACTGTTCTTTAGGAATGCTCGCGACGAGCCTTTGCAAAGAAGGGACGGAGCCTACAGGCGAGCGATCTTACCGATGAAGTCCACAACGCTTTCATGTACTTGTTTGGCGACGTCGATGGCGACGCGGAGGCCTACAAGCTATGATAGTACCGCAGTATCAGATGAACATGGGCGTTTTGTGAGCATTGAACCAACACACGGCAAATACGATAGATGCGCATCTCAAGTAGCGTTTGAGCAATGCTCGACGTCTTAGGAACGACAAGCAAAGAGATCCAACGAACCCTATATCAAGATAGTAGTGAGGTGATAGTAGAGTAGTAGCTACCAGCTAATCTTAATGATATCTAGTTATCTTGTCTATATGTTATGCGGCTCTCTATCTATTATACTCGGCCTTTCCAAATTTGCAGGATATATACCTAGCTTCAAGTTATGATATTATTATTGCCTAACGTTTATCTACTATAATAGCTATTAAAGTTGTTATTATTATACTTGAACTAGTTAAAAAACGAGCTCCATTTATACTAACTTTTCTATAAAAAAATCCTGAAATTATTGAACCTAATAAAGGTAATACTATTATACTTAAATATATTATTTATATTCTATTACTATACTTCCTCTTAATCTATAAAAAGCTACTAAAATACCTAAACCTATTATAGACTCTACTCTAGCTATTATTAGAATATATATAGTATAAGTTTATCCTATTATATTATCTATATTTATAGAACTTATTAATATAAAAAACATTATTAATATTAATATTATTTCTATAGAAATAAGTATTAATATAATATTTTCTATTAAATATAAACCCTAAACCTCCTATTAAAAAAAGTACTAATATTAGACTTATATTATTATATTTATTTTTTATTAAATTATTAAGTAATAAGGTTAGATTTAATTTAACTTTATCTATAAAAAGTATTATATTTATATAATATAATAGTTATTAAGGGTATATAAGACTTAAACTTATAACTTAATAGCTATAATCTTCCCCCCCCCCTCCTAAGATAATCCCTATTAAACTATTTAATTAAATAGCTATATTACTCTTCTAAGAGAATATATATTAAAAAGTTCTTCTATTAGATTTTTTTTATTATAGAGTCTATAATTTTAATTCTTTCTATAGAACGTAATATTAGGCTAATAATAATTATAATAAGAAACTTTCTAAACCTATACTTTCTATAATTATAAGTATAGAAGAATATAAAATCCTATAAATCTCTAAATATTATCTATAGAATCCCCCTTCTCTATTAATAAAAGTAGAAACTTAGTTTAATCTACCTAGGTAAGTATTATATTTTATTCCTAAAGCTAGAGTAGTATAAGAATATATAACCGTCCGA